TTTGCACCTGCTTCAGCTTGGTCATTACTCCACATAGCATGTCTGTCTCCATCCTCTTTGTCTGCACTGCTACACATGTGCCGTGACGCAGGGTACAAAAAGCTTATTTAGTGGGAATTGCCACGTCATTTGCTGATTTTTGCACCTGCTTCAGCTTGGACATTACTCCACATAACATGTCTGTCTCCATCCTCTTTGTCTGCACTGCTACACATGTGCCGTGACGCACTGGTAGGACAAAAGTCGCGCTTGTTGAGCTTCCCACAGTGAACATGTTTGGCTTCTTCTTCTTCTGCACACCCTTTCCCCGTAGAATCCTAGCATGGAGCTTTGTCGTACCCCGGTCGCATTTCCACCCTCCAAAAGCTTAAAATCTTATATATTTAAAAGAGGGTGATAATTGACCGTCCCACACCTGCCACACAAAACGGACTTGAAAATGCGATCCGCGGTTGACCGACATGGATGTCTTGTAAAGCTTTCAAGAAGCATACACTTTGTTCCTCCTGAAGGGTACGAAAAGCTTATTTAGTGGGAATTGCCACGTCATTTGCTGACTTCTGCACCTGCTTCAGCTTGGTCATTACTCCACATAACATGTCTGTCTCCATCCTCTTTGTCTGCACTGCTACACATGTGCTGCGACGCAGGGTACGAAAAGCTTATTTAGTGGGAATTGCCACGTCCTTTGCTGATTTTTGCACCTGCTTCAGCTTGGACATTACTCCACATAACATGTCTGTCTCCATCCTCTTTGTCTGCACTGCTACACATGTGCCGTGAGACGCAAGGGTACGCACAAAGCTTATGTAGTGGAATTGCCACGTCATTTGCTGGAGTTTTGCACCTGCTTACTTGGTCAAATTACTATTACTCCACAAACATTCTGTGCTCCATCCTCTTTGTCCTGCACTGCTTACACATGTTCTGCGACGCATGGTCCAAAAAGCTTATTTAGTGGGAAGTGGCCACGTCATTTGCTGATTTTTGCATCCTGCTTTGTCAGCTAGTCATTACTCAAAAATTACTCCACATAGCATGTCTGTCTCCATCCTCTTTTGTCTGCACTGCTACACATGTGCCGTGACGCAGGGTACGAAAAGCTTATTTAGTGGGAATTGCCACGTCATTTGCTGATTTTTGCACCTGCTTCAGCTTGGACATTACTCCACATAACATGTCTGTCTCCATCCTCTTTGTCTGCACTGCTACACATGTGCCGTGACGCACTGGTAGGACAAAAGTTGCGCTTGTTGATCTTCCCACAGTGAACATGTTTGGCTTCTTCTTCTGCACACCCTTTCCCCGTAGAATCCTAGCATGGAGCTTTGTCGTACCCCGGTCGCATTTCCACCCCCCAAAAGCTTTAAAATCTTATATATTTAAAAGAGGGTGATAATTGACCGTCCCACACCTGCCACACAAAACGGACTTGAAAATGCGATCCGCGGTTGACTGACATGGATGTCTTGTTAAGCTTTCAAGAAGCATAAACTTTGTTCCTCCTGAAGGGTACGAAAAGCTTATTTAGTGGGAATTGCCACGTCATTTGCTGATTTTTGCACCTGCTTCAGCTTGGACATTACTCCACATAACATGTCTGTCTCCATCCTCTTTGTCTGCACTGCTACACATGTGCCGTGACGCAGGGTACGAAAAGCTTATTTAGTGGGAATTGCCACGTCATTTGCTGTCTTCTGCACCTGCTTCAGCTTGGTCATTACTCCACATAACATGTCTGTCTCCATCCTCTTTGTCTGCACTGCTACACATGTGCTGCGACGCAGGGTACAAAAAGCTTCTTTAGTGGGAATTGCCACGTCATTTGCTGATTTTTGCACCTGCTTCAGCTTGGTCATTACTCCACATAGCAATTCTTTTCATCCGAGGAACAAGCTGTGTGTCTGCACGGCTACACATGTGCAGTGACGCAGGTCAAAAGCTTTTTAGTGGTAATTTCCAACGTCCATTTTGTTCTGATTTTTGCACCGGCTTCAGCTTGGGACATTACTCCTCCCGACTTCGAGCTCCTCTGTCTGTCTCCCACCTCTTTGTTGCACTGCTACACATGTGCCGTGACGCACTGGTAGGACACAGTTGCCGCTTGTTGGAGCTTCCCACAGGTGAACATTTGGCTTCTTGTCTTCTGCACACCCCGTATCCCGTAGAATCCTAGCATGGAGCTTTGTCGTACCCCGGTCGCATTTCCACCCCCCAAAAGCTTTAAAATCTTATATATTTAAAAGAGGGTGATAATTGACCGTCCCACCCCTGCCACACAAAACGGACTTGAAAATGCGATCCGCGGTTGACCGACATGGATGTCTTGTAAAGCTTTCAAGAAGCATAAACTTTGTTCCTCCTGAAGGGTACAAAAAGCTTATTGAGTGGGGATTGCCAAGTCATTTGCTGATTTTTGCACCTGCTTCAGCTTGGTCATTACTCCTCATAACATGCCTGTCTCCATCCTCTTTGTCTGCACTGCTACACATGTGCCGTGACGCAGGGTACAAAAAGCTTAGTAGGGGAATTGCCACGTCATTTGCTGACTTCTGCACCTGCTTCAGCTTGGTCATTACTCCACATAACATGTCTGTCTCCATCCTCTTTGTCTAGCACTGCTACACATGTGCTGCGACGCAGGGTACAAAAAGCTTATTTAGTGGGAATTGCCACGTCATTTGCTGATTTTTGCACCTGCTTCAGCTTGGTCATTACTCCACATAGCATGTCTGTCTCCATCCTCTTTGTCTGCACTGCTGCACATGTGCCGTGACGCAGGGTACAAAAAGCTTATTTAGTGGGAATTGCCACCTCATTTGCTGATTTTTGCACCTGCTTCAGCTTGGACATTACTCCACATAACATGTCTGTCTCCATCCTCTTTGTCTGCACTGCTACACATGTGCCGTGACGCACTGGTAGGACAAAAGTTGCGCTTGTTGAGCTTCCCACAGTGAACATGGTTGGTTTCTTCTTCTGCACACCCTTTCCCCGTAGAATCCTAGCATGGAGCTTTGTCGTACCCCGGTCGCATTTCCCACCCTCCAAAAGCTTTAAAATCTTATATATTTAAAAGAGGGTGATAATTGACCGTCCCACACCTGCCACACAAAACGGACTTGAAAATGTGATCCGCGGTTGACCGAAATGGATGTTTTGTAAAGCTTTCAAGAAGCATAAACTTTGTTCCTCCTGAAGGGTACAAAAAGCTTATTGAGTGGGGATTGCCAAGTCATTTGCTGATTTTTGCACCTGCTTCAGCTTGGTCATTACTCCACATAACATGCCTGTCTCCATCCTCTTTGTCTGCACTGCTACACATGTGCCGTGACGCACTGGTAGGACAAAAGTTGCGCTTGTTGAGCTTCCCACAGTGAACATGGTTGGTTTCTTCTTCTGCACACCCTTTCCCCGTAGAATCCTAGCATGGAGCTTTGTCGTACCCCGGTCGCATTCCCACCCTCCAAAAGCTTTAAAATCTTATATATTTAAAAGAGGGTGATAATTGACCGTCCCACACCTGCCACACAAAACGGACTTGAAAATGTGATCCGCGGTTGACCGAAATGGATGTTTTGTAAAGCTTTCAAGAAGCATAAACTTTGTTCCTCCTGAAGTATATAGAGCTGGCATTTGTTTTCCTACATTTGGGTTAAGTCTTTTGGGTAAGTGTTCGCAAATCTTCCATACAGTCATACAGCATGTGAGTGGGGATATGAATCAATAATGGGATTTCAAGAAGCAACAATTCAATGGGATATTGATTTGTCTCAAAAAGGGTAAGTTTACTGCAATGTATGGCCCCTTTTGGGCTTTGCTCACGTAGAAACCCTCTATCATCTACGCTCTTGAGTGTTTGTTGATTTCAGTTTCAACTATATAACCTCGGTTGGTATCATTTTGCAGACTTGCCTGCCCAAGCTGTTGCCCCTATAATTTCACAGGGAATTTGCATTTTGTTTTGTTATCAATCATCTTTCTGGACACGGAAAACCAATCGTTTAATTCTTCAAACTTTAAAAGAATACGATTTGATTTGAAAATAGTTCTTTCCAACAAACATGGGATGTTTTTGTTCTTATCTCCCTTTAGATGCCGCAGAGATGCTGCTGTTTTTTGATTGGAGTCATGCCGGGCTGCAGAGATTCCTTCGGGGAAGATCGTTTTGTGTGTGGCGCAGCGTGCACAAAAAAGATGGTTTAAGAGGGTTTGTTCCAATGTAACGCAATATTGTGACATACGATTCTAGCATGATTTCATCTACTGCCTCAAGAAAGTTGATGTGTTTATCGTGATTAATTAAGGTGATTGTATGTTCCCAATGAGATCACCATTTGGGGAATCTATCGGGAATAATTATTTTTTGGGGTTCTTATGGCTACAACAAATCCCATTCTTCATTATTATACATATATATATATAATCATGAATCTATATGTCCCCCTAAAAAATGTTCTACCAACATATTAAATCAGCACACACACACACGCACACACACATATATATATATATACATACAGTACTGTATATATATACATACATAAATACGTACAATATAATCACACTCATTATTGATTTATTGATCATTCATCATGAACATACCCATAATATTGATTCACATTCCCCGGTAATCCATAAACTTGCCATAAACACTAATTCATTAATTCATTAATCCGTTTTCCCATGAATTTGCCTGTTCCCGCAGTTTTTTTCTGGCATTTGCCTATGTACAGAGATGGCAATGGAAACACCCATATGGCCCATGACACCATGCAGGAAATTCCACGTTGACAGGGGTAAGTTATCATAAGTGATCATCAATCAGCTATAGAATATCTATAGATCAGCTATATCCTTAGAGATTAAAGTTTTCTTGGTTTTTGATACTCTTAAATGATCAATCGCTTTCCCATGATTGACCCACGGTTGACCCCACGGCTGATCATTCCTTTCACCAGGCCACCTATTTGCATCTTGGAGGTGTTCGGGCCAAGGCAATGCATCCGGCACTGCGCACACAGCACCTGGATTTTTGTTAAGGAACCATGGGTTCGAGGGTATGGAGAACATCACCAAATGATGGTGAACAGTATTTAATAGTTAAAAACTGTCAATAACTGTTAAAAACTGTTGAAAATGTTAATGTTGGTTATTAGCTAAAAATCATGGTTATTAGTTAAAAACTGTTGAAAAACTGATAATAACTGTTAAAAACTGGGCTATAGCTGTTGGTTTCTTAAAATGCTGGATCTCCAAGTTCTAATATGAGTTTTTAAATACGAAAAAATGGTGGACTTGGATTTTTTGGGTACCCTCATAGTTAGGACACCTCCATATGATTAATGCATGCTTATTGAGGGCAATGATAGGATTTACGTATTTACCTGATTTTTTCCCGAAGACGGTGAAACTAGCTATGTTGCTGGGGAAGAACAAGCCCACATGATAATGGACTTGGTTTTCTCATGTTTTCTCATTATCCTGAAGACACTTGCGTTTTTTTAAATTGGCAGCGCACGTTCTCTTATTGGTGTGGGCCACTTTTCTTGCCCCTCTAGGTATGATATGTTCAATGGTTTTAGCGCATTGTTCTTTTCTGCTTGTCTAATTGTGCATACCCTCTGGTTATTTAACATAGCCATGGAAAATGGTTGATTTTCCCATTAAGACCTCCATTTATAAGGGATTTTCCATAGCTATGTTAAATAACCAGATGGTATGTTGCACGTCTTCTGTTCTCCATGGACGCTTAAATTCTCCATGTCCAGATGTTCAGAAGCGTTCAGAATCCCATGGCGAAACCGCAGGGGACACCCAGCTGAAACAGCTGCTTGACACAACCCCGAAGTCAATGTCAGAAGCAATCATCAACAAGACACCATCATTATTATGAAATTATTATCATCATTCACTGTTTTTTCTCAAACAATTAGTTATATATATATAACCATCATCATTCACCATCATTGGCCATCATGAACCATCATTAACCATCATTAACCATCATCAACCATCATCGACTATATAAATCTGTTTTCCACCCCATGGCTCATCAACTCATCAACTAATTAACCATCATCAACTATGCTTTGGTTATTTAACGTAGCGAACTGGGAAATCACAATTTTTCAGTTCGGTAAATCATCATGTTTATCATCTATTTCTATGGGCCATTTTCCAAATCGCTACGTTAAATAACCAAAGGGTATATCTAATATATGAATCATAAGTGGTACATTTAACATAGCTATGGTATAGATGGTCCATTTGTGGAATATTTATTAAGTGATGAGTTACTGATTAAAAAACCCGTGATTTTCTATATGATTCACCATCTCGGGGCCCCAAGGCCCCAAGGGCCCGCGCCGAGGAAGGCTGCGCTGTCGGACGCCCTGTTCTGCGCGGATGGGGAACGCCTCTTCTGCCGCCTCGTGGCACAGGTGATGGCGCCTTGGAATCCCATGGGGAATGCGGAGATCAAAAGGTGAAGTTCATGGTTAACATGGGTTAAATTTGATGAAACAAATGATGAATATTAATGAAGGTTGATGAACATTGATGACTATTGATGAACATAACGGTAATGGATGGTTAAATGGATGGTTATTGTAAATGGATGCTGTTCAATGGCCATTTGGATTACATGAAATGATTGTTTAGCTATATTGCCATGGGGATGTCATAGTTGAAAACGTGTCCCAAGATGGGCTGTAGTCAGTGGATTAGATACATGTCAACAAGCCCTTGAAAAGGACATTCAGAGAGAGAGAGAGAGGCATTTAACAGCCAAAAATGGTGGATTTACATCAAATACATCCAAATAGATAATGGCAATACAACTGGAACACCGTAGGAATAACATGTCAACATGACTCTCCATCACGTATGGAGAGTCACCGTTGATGTTGTCGGCCCCAGAAGTGGATGCACTGAAACATAGAAATCACATAGAAATCAGATAGTTTAAGCAACAAACCTTGGATGATGAATTGATGAATCAAATATCAGATTAAACTGATTAAACATGGAAACCGTATACGGAATCCATTTAGGCAAAGTGTTTCCAGTTTCTTCACGTCACTGGCGGAAGACATATTAAGACGCTGAGAATGGCGACCCGTGGGATCCCAGCGCTGAGAATGTCATCGTTGTGTGAGTTATATAGTAGTGACTGGGTGACTGAGTGATAGGGGACTCTGAATTCCAATGGATTATAGCGCTATATCCCATATGAATGACAACAAAAAGTATTCCAACGGATTATACATAATTCATCATAATTCCAAAATGAAGGGAACATGATGATAATTGATGATATGTGCGCTATATAAAACCAATGTTCCCTTCATTTTCCCTAATTTTTCATGGCAGACAAAGCCACCATGAAGTCGCGACCCCAGAACAAGTTCATCACTAAGCTTTGTAAGGGAAATTCAGCCCAGAATAGATTCAATCTCTGGCCGTGATGCAAACGTTGGTTTATAAACCCCATTGACTATAATTATATATATATAGATATAGTCAGTTGTAAGTATCTTAAATGATAGTTATTGGAGTTCTAAACCAACTTAGCTATCGTTTTACCCAGGAGAGCACCACGTTGCTTCACCAAGGACCTAGCGCCGGAGATGGCATTGAAGGTGCACCTCGAAAATTCCGGCGGGGGCGGAAACCAGGTCCAAATCACCGTAAATTTCAGCCATATTTCATGAGTTGTATATATTAATATATTGTCTACTGTAAATATCTGTAAATTGCATGAGTTAAGTATAAGTTTACATTGTATACATGTTCGATGGAGTAACCGCGACAGCCATGTGTTTTTTCATCCCCCCCTTGGAACTTGACCAACTTGATGCGCCGCAGGTGGTGCGAAACATCCTGAACACAGAGCGTGGTCGATGTTTGTTTATCATCAAGAACTCCTTGATCCATCAAGCACGCCTTGTAGCTCGTTCTTGAGGGGGGACGAAGTACTTTTGGATGGCGATGACGGGCCTTTTTTTGGGAAGGGGGGAGTTGAAATGGCCAAGTTTCTCACGAGTTCCGAGGGATATCACTTGGGGGTGTGCATCCCACGTAGTAAATATTATACCCCCCGTTATATATAGAATATCCCCAGTGATGCCCACTTATAATATGGGATTGTATGGGTTCCAAGTGGGATGCACATCCAAGCACTGATCACCGGAGGCCCAAACCTCACTGATCGGATGCTAAAGCATCAAGGAATATATCAGTACACGTTCACTTCAGTCGCCCTGATAAATGTGATGGAATTTTGCTAGCTATTGTTAAAGAAGATTGTTTGCACATGATTTTACAACATTTTCCAGCATGCTAAATAAATAAGAAACTAAACATACGCATATACACATTAATATACTAGAATATGTGAATATCAATGTGAATGTAATCCAATCCCCCAATATTGAGTACGCCAACATGCCACCGCCGCAATGCTTTTAAAGGGGATGCTTGAGAATAGAGAGATTGGTATTGGTCACAGCCCTGGTAACTGGTAGGTAAATGGATGCTTCATAGGTTTTGGCCCACCCTCATACAACCCTTATAATTATAACTGATGGTTAGTTAAGTCCCATTAAATATACCATCAAAGTCCCATTAAATTTCGCATGAAATATCTGCGAACTATCACATTGAATATCCATTGCTAACCCATTATAATTCCACCTAAATTTGCCTAAATGATATCCTCATTTGTAGCTTTCCTGCACTCATGGAGAAGGCGATGGAGAATTGGCGGAAAAAATCTCACCATCTACAGATCCTACAGTTGATAAGTCCCAGTCAGATCCCATGAAAACATCCCTCCCCAAGGAGTTGGAAGCGTCACAGCGTGTGATCCATATTCTGGAACAGGAGCCGATGACTGTATGTGACCACGGCGCTGGCTAGGGGTTGCTGGGAATTACTCACCAACATGGAGGTTTCCATATGACCAAGGGGTACCCCAAAATTTGGGGGTACCCCTTTTTTAGGAAACCTCCATATGTTGGGGATTATCATGATCCAGTTATAGGGGGTTGTTCACCTATGACCTACCCGATGATTATCCCTTTATATGAATTGGGGATGATCATTATACATGAACTGGGAATCCCATTCTCAACAAAAGCCCGTGTCTTGCCAGCCAATCGGATCTATTGATTTCTCCTACCTTTGCTCATTGGGACTCCCAATCGAGAAGACGTGCGTCGAGCTGACTCCAAAACTGCCTCCGTTTTGGAGGTCAGAATTGACAAATGCGGCCAGTCGGCCACAGCTGATCTCACCCGCTGGAGATTTCAGCCAGGGAGGCGATTCCACAGACGTGTTTTTTAGCATTGGAGAAAGCCATTGGATTAGTAGTATTTTTTGTGAGATGTGAGGATATCAACCGAGAATTTCGTTGGCATTTGACTGTGATGTCACTTGGAAAGGCCAAGTGGATGGATGGTAACCGTTTTTGGTGAAGATGGGGGAGTCAGGCAAGTGTGGATCCATGTTTACCGGGTACTACCGTGAAATTTTGGGGAAAGACCTAAGACCTAAGATGATTTAAGATGAACAGAAACTGAAGACTTAGATCTTAGGTTCTGGGAGTTGAACATGGAACCAGCTGGTAAAAGAAATGAAGGTAGATAAGGCAAACTGAGGACGGTATAGTCGATGGTAGAGTCGACAATTGGATGTGTTTGTGACATCTTGTTCGGTATGAACAGCTCACCGCTAATTAAAGCACTTGGAAGGGACAAGTACATGAGTGCATTATCATCTATCATGGGCCCTATGATGAATTAAACAATGATTGCTGTTGATAAAGGCCCTGGTTGGTAAACAATTTGACGTTGACCTCCAGGAAATTTCAATGAATATGGACTCAGTCCCCCACTAATAGATCATTTCCATGAAAACTCATCAATTTCCATAGCTGACCTACGCTACCGGAAGACCGACGCTGTTTCAGCATCGTCCTTTGGAGGCTGCCGGCAGCCTCCAAAAGCTGAGTCTACCACTGAATTAAACATGTTATATTAGTTGAACATTGTTAATTGAACATATGTCATATTAGTTGATATTAGTTGAACAACCACGTATTATGATCTTACATTCGCGTTTTAGTATTGTTTTCCTAGCATTGGCCAGATATGTTTCATGATACGTCCAGGTTTGCGGTTGGCCTTTTTTCGCATCGTTGGGGTACACCCTGCGCCGGGAGAGGTGTGCCATGGTCAGGAGCCAGATGAAGTGCAAAGACAACTGGCAGAAGGCCGCTGCGACTGAGGGGCCCAGGGGCCCGACAGAAGCGGGTTGAAACCATTCAACATCCCCTTCAAAAGATTTCAAAAGCAAAGATTCAAACTTCGTAATTGACATGTTCGCACATTTTTAAATGAGTTGCATCTATTGATCCATGTTTTTACCTATTTTTGCGAATGCCGGGAGGCTTTCCCAGATTCCCAGCAGCCTTGATGCAGGAGGGCCATTGTTCCCCTTGTCTGGCAAACCGCCCAGTGACACTTCGGGCACTTCCAGTGTCTTGGCGCTTGGCGAAATGCCGGTGATTTGGTGATGAAATTTTCGCCTCTGTGAAACGGGGGTGTTTTTTTCTAACCAGTTTCTATAGCTCAATAGCTAAGATTGGCCATGAGATAGTTAAAGATAATTATTTGAAGTTGGCCATGAGATAGTTAAAGATATTTTAGGAACAAATGCACATTTGAATTGTTTCTGGAAACGTCTTGGGTATCATAAGGTATCCTTTGGTTTCCTTCTTTTCACCTTGAAGATTTCCAACAGGTTCCCAACAGGTCTCGATTTCGATATGCATTTGAGTCATTTGGGACACACTTTTTTCGGACCTGTATCTAAAAATGGCCATGACATGTTTTTTAAACACATGAAACGCTATATTATATGTAGTGTTTTTCTTTTCCCTTTGCCCCATGCCGATCAAACTATATTATACGGGTTCATGCAACAAAACTGGAAGTGTAACCAGCAAACTGGGAAACTGACCCAGTGGAAGCTTTTTCCAGTGCTGGTTGCCAAGCTCCCAACCAGTTGCTACCGCTACCCAACTTGACAACTTGATGTTGGGAAAACATTCCATTTAGAATTGTTTTTTCCATTATTTTCCCATTGATTTTCCCATTATAGATGGATTTTCCCATTGATTTTTTCCTTTTTTCGGTGGGTTTTCCACCCAGCTGACCTCGATGAAGATCGAGGCTCCTCTGAAGAGGACGACCTACCGGGGTGAAACACCGCGGTTCCGGAGACCGCGGTGACTGGGGATTTGAAATTTGTGAAATGATAGTGGAACTAGGGGGAACTAGGTGGAAATGGTGGTTAATAGTGGGATAAATGATAGTGTGGAATAATGTTAGTGAAATATAGTGAAATGGGGGTACCCCAAAAGCTGCATGGTTTATTTCATGGAAAATCCTACCTAAAAATGGATGAGTTAGCGGTACCCCCATTTTAGGAAACCTCCAAATGATAGTGGAACTGTATTAAACCATTGACTATCACTAACCACTATCTACTAATCTATGAAATTGTTAGTGAAATTTTCAGGATAGTGGAATAGGTCCTCGTTGTTTGTTTGTGAACCAACTCATCACTATAGTTGATGGTACTTGAATTGCCAGCCAAGCAGGTTACCAGAGCAGAAGAGCCACATCCAGAAGTTCAAGAAGAATCCCGACATCAACGAGAAGAGCCTCATGATGGTTTGTGTAGATCTGTGAGGGATTGCAGGTGCGGAGCCAGTTGTGTCACCCAGAGGCGGAATAACTTTCTCAAAGACGGACGTGCCCCACTGTCAGTGAACATGGCGTTTGGTGCTTCGAAACTACGAAATAGGCTGACGCATCCAGGACTTTGTCTTCTCGGATGCTGTTGAACTGGTCCAATGGGCTGTTTGGACGGCCAGAGGGATCTTTAATTGGAATTAACCAAGCATTTGATCACTGAACATTTTCCCATGACCTATTTGCAGATGATTTAACATGACTTACTTATAATAGACTGTTATGTTCGCTATGTTAGATTGCCATGGGGGTACACGCACACAGATTTATATATATATATACATAAACATAATTTATATATATATATATATTTATAGAACACGCATACCACATATATATATATATATAGAGATATCATATGTATATATTTATATATATATATATACATATTTATATAGATGTCAAATATATATATATACATATATATATCTCTCTCTCTCTTGTAGGTAGATATCATGTCCCCCGGGAAAAAGGCGTTTTTTCTTGATGTTTTGGTTTGAACGGTGTGATTACCTTGGCGCTGGAGCCCACGCTTCCCAGCGTGCATTTTTGCGTCAGGATGAAGGAGATGCATCATCGACCTTTCCCAAGAGGACCAGTACAGACAATGTGGGCGCCCGACTGGGCCGGGAATGGCTGGGATGAGATGGGTCAATACCAATGATGATCAATGATGGTACCATGAAAATCAAGATCTAAAAAATTGGGGATGAACAATGATGATCATATATTTGAACACATGTTTAAGCTGCTGTGAAAAGCACCATGCCTCATCTGCCTCATCCAGAGCCATGATTGGTCATGTGTGGAAAGTCGTCCTGCCAGTGATGAAACGATGAGTGGTTCTGTACAACATTCAGAGGCCCTGCATCCAAACAGACCCCCCAAGGGTTCGTGCCATACCATGCCCGCAAAGAACTGCCACGGACGGAGGATGAGAATCCCATGCCGTGTGTTTTTGTTAGGTCCCAGTGTCCCAGTCAGGTTTAGAGGCTCAAGATGAACTGGCCAGTGTATGCCAGTGTTGTTTCTGAATCTGGTTGGCGGTTTGGAACATGTTTTTTCCATTTCATATGGGATGTCGTCCTTTCCATTGACTTTCATATTTTTCAAGATGGTGAAAACCACCAACCAGGAATGTTTCCGTATTTTTCTGATGATGAGGTAGCAGTTGACGCACATGGCCAGATGGTGAGACCACCAGAGGATTTGGTGCCATGGGTAATTAAACCTATTTCCCCATCATGGGTAGTTGATATTTTTATATATATATATACCTGAAAAGCCAAAAACCACAAAATTTTCTGGTCATCATAGGAAAAAGCCGTAATGATCATTTTGTTGGATAAAATATTGTTTTTACCCGTAGTGACCAAACAAAATGGTCAAATCAAAAGAACATTGCAGTCCTACCCGTAGCAAAACCGTATTTGTTCGACATTTTGTTGAAAAAAAACGAAAAAGCCGTAGCAACACTCACACAAGCGGCTCCAGACGATCAAAACCGTAATGACGAAAAAAACATGGTCAAGGCCGTTTGACCAAAAAAATGGGATTATGGCTTTCCAGGTATATACATATTATTTATATAGATGATGTAATATCCTTATCATTTTTCTTTTATAGTTACTATACGACTATCATATATTGTATATGATTTCCCTCCCCGTGTGGTTTATCCCGTTCCAATTTCCCCAACGCAACGTGCGATTTAGGTGGAGCCCAGCAGTCCCACCAGTCCTTCACGAGTGAAAAGCCGCCGGGCCGGGGTCCGGAGGACCCAGTGGTGTTTCGAAAAGCACCGGGAGCCGAGTGGAATTATATGAAAATACCGCATTTATAGTTGATGATTTACCTATTCAAAATGGCGATTTTCTATGGAATTATAAGTTTATCATTGACATTCATTGACCACAAATGGCTAAACCATTCATTGGGTGACGATTTAGATAAAAAACGAGCACATCAGTTGTTTCTTCAATGGCAAAAAAAGGGGATCAATTCCCTCTTTTCAGACGCACCCAGATTGGGGGAACATCCTCCAAGAGATCCAAGAGTCATTTTCTCACTTTTGGGGTGAACAACAATGACTCGATTGAACTCATGCTTGGGGGGACCATGGAACTGCGAGAATCGAAAAAAACACAAACTGTGAGAAATATATAGAATAATAGAATGGGAACAAAAGATGTCATGTGGCAAACCCAAGGCCATAAATCATCCCCAAGATAACTTTTCTATTGCTGGTATGTTTCAACCATTCCCTAAATAATTCTTTATGGCAGGATTACTATAAATCCGAACTTGAGGCTTAAACATAAACCCAGCTATGGTATGTTTACGGTTGCTGAAAACCTAATAGACATCAGTAGAAGTATGAAACTTAATGGCTGGCAATATATATATATATATGTATAGATATATTCCCCAATTGTCAATTTATCCCATGATATTCCCATGAAAAAATGATTATTTGGGTATATCAAATATCTATAGTCAGCATATATACACACACACATATATATATATATACATATATATATATGTAATATAATTTGTATATATATATATAAATGTATACCAATTTCTATTGGTTAAAGTTCCCATCAAAGATCACATTATCATAGAGTACATAAGTGCCATCCCAATACAATCTATATTTAAATAGATATCCCCCTAGGGAAAAACATATAATTTGGTAAGATGTCTAAACTTGTGGTTGCTGTATAATATTGCCATAAAATATCACTGTTCTTTGGTAATAGTTGGGGACGTATCTTTGAATCTTTAGAGGATTTTTTAAAGGTACAATAAGAGCTACTGTAGGGATATACGGTATATCCCTACCGTAACTCTTCCTATATCCCTATTACTGTATGTAACTAGATGATAGTCGGTACACATGAAAGTTAGTATATCCCCATAATATCTCTACAATATCCGCATGCTATTCGCATGATATTCTGAGATCTTTATGATATTCCCATGATATTCTGATATTCCTTGCCGGTTGGTGGTTTGGAACATGTTTTATTTTTCCATATATTGGGAATGTCATCATCCCAACTGACTTTCATATTTTTCAGAGGGGTAGGTATACCACCAGCCAACTTGGGTATCTCTAAGTCTAAGCCGCTCAGATGCGCGGCTTCGTGGCCTTCTCCTCGTCCATCGCACGTTCCGCGGCGCGACGGCCCACGGTCCGGGAGACCCGGGAGACCTGGGAGACCCGGGAGACCCGACAAATCGGCAGCAGAACCGGACATCGTGGAACGTGGAATGGGGTGAAGTCGTTCTTGAAAGATTTGTGTTTCATGGTTTTTCCTCGTTTTTCCCTTTTTTTTAATCATCTTGACTTTCCTGACTTTTCTTGTTTCTTTATTTATGTCTGCATGTGTTTTTGGATTTTTCCTGACTTTTTATGTGCCCAGGCGGTCCTAGGAGAAGGAGAGGTGGAAGAAGCGCCGCTGCTGCAGATCCGCCCCTTGGAGCGGCCAGATTGGGAGTTGACCGCGGGTTTAGCCAACTACCATCTGGTTATTTGACATAGCCATGGAAAATGGCCCATTTATAGATGGTTTACCTATTAAAAATGGTGATTTTCCATGGCTATGTTAAATAACAAGATGGTAAATCTGATCTCATGGTGAAGGGGGAAAAAATGCATACTGCAGACATGCTGGTGAATCTCATCTTCCAAGTGATTTGTTTCATTGGCGGCCTAGATTACCCAAGAATAGCCAGCAAATGAGGGTTATCAGCAACAAAATAGAGGCTTGAATCGAACCAACAATATCTGGTTGGTGGTTTGGAACATTTTTCCATATATTGGGAACAATAATAATCCCAACTGACTAATATTTTTCAGAGGGGTAGGTATACCACCAACCAGATATCAACAATATTTCAATTCAAGATGGCGGGCAACACTCGGAATTAATGCGCAAAGAATTGAAGGTAGGGTCCCATGAGGATGACATTTGATTCCGACAGGTCAGAAATAAGCTGCGCCTTCCTTGGAGATCACCTGGTGGCTAAAACCCAGACATCGCTAAATGATATGACCAATAATGCAACAAAAAATATCATGCAATATGACATCTATAAGATAATTTAATATCATGCAAAATCATAAAACATATTTCATATGGTACAATATAATGTAATACGGTATAATATCATATAATATGATATAATATCATATAAGATGATATAATATTATTTGATATCATATAATATAATTAAAAAACAACAAGATTTAAGATGACATATTATATCAAATAAAAATAGAAGAATATGCAATATAATTTATTAAAAACAATATGATTTAAAATGATATATGTTAAAATTAATTTACAATATATTTTGGTATTTTACTATATTATAATATAGTAAAATACAAATATATAATATGAAATATGTTTTAAACGTACTCTAATACAATATACGCATCATATAATATGGTATTATATAATAATGTTTAAATATGATATAATTTTGCTTTAATATGATGATTTAATAAAGCAGATTAGAAATTATATTATAATATAATAATGTAATAAAAGGTAAAGTAATACTAAGACTGATGTTAATAATAATGATGATGATAATACATACTTTAGTAATATAAATTACTTTACTTCGTGTGATCCCCACCATGACATGTATACATTTTCTTACTGGCAAATCTTCTGGCATTCTATCTGGCATATCTTCTGGCATCCTATCTGGCATTCTATCTGGCATATCTTCTGGCATATGTTCTGGCATATCTTCTGGCATTCTATCTGGCATATCTTCTGGCATTCTATCTGGCATATCTTCCGGCATCCTATCTGGCATTCTATCTGGCATATCTTTTGGCATTCTATCTGGCATATCTTCTGGCATGTATTCTGACATATTTTCTGGCATTCTATCTGGCATTCTATCTGGCATATCTTCTGGCATTCTATCTGGCATATCTTCTGGCATTCTATCTGGCATATCTTCTGGCAGATGTTCTGGCATATCTTTTGGCATTCTATCTGGCATTCTATCTGGCATTCTATCTGGCATATGTTCTGGCATATCTCCTGGCATTCTATCTGGCATATCTTCCGGCATTCTATCTGGCATTCTATCTGACATATCTTTTGGCATTCTATCTGGCATATCTTCTGGCATATATTCTGACATATTTTCTGGCATTCTATCTGGCATTCTATCCGGCATATCTTCTGGCATTCTATTTGGCATGTCTCATGGCATTTTATCTGGCATATCTTCTGGCATTCCATCTGACATTCTATCTGGCATATCTTCTGGCATTCTATCTGCCCGTTGAGGTCCAGCAGTGCACACTGAGCTGGGAAGGTCCCCGGTTGAGGTCCAGCGGTGCATACTGAGCTGGGCAGATCCCAGGTTGAGGTCCAGCGGTGCACACTGGGCTGGGCAGGTCCCAGGTTGAGGTCCAGCGGTGCACACTGAGCTGAGACGGTCCCTGCTTGAGGTCCAGCGGTGCACACTGGGCTGGGCAGGTTCCAGGTTGAGGTCCAGCGGTGCACACTGAGCTGGGAAGGTCCCCGGTTGAGGTCCAGCGGTGCACACTGAGCTGGGCAGGTCCCAGGTTGAGGTCCCAGTGCACAAGCTGGGAAGTTGGCAAAGAGCTTGGCGAAGAGAGTTGGCAAAGAGCTTGGCGAAGAGTTGGCAAGGCGGAAGTGGAGGTGGAAGTTGATGCAGACATGGTGGAGGAGAAACTAGAGGAGGAGGAGGAGGACAGCTAGCCGAGGAGGAGGAGGAGGAGAACAACTCTGATAAAATCTAACAACCCTCACCTGGCAGGTGGGGAAATAACATATTATAATTTAATATAACATAAACAATAATACATTAAAAAATAATACAATAATATGATGTAATATTTTTAAAAACAATAGAATACAATATAACATGATTTGTGTTTAATCTGATTTAATATGATATAATTATATAATATGATTTAATATGATATAATATGCAAAAAATAATGGTATATCACTATCCACTATTGCTAATAACAGTATCACTATATATATATATATATATACATATATATATATATTGTAAATCCCAGGATGGGGCCCCCGGTTCATCAACGATGAGCCCAGCAACTTTGAGGTTCTGCAGAGAACAACGTGCTTCAAATGCCCGTGTGCGAACCTGGGCAAAGGGTGCAGGCGCCGTGATTTTTGGAGTTGGAAACGCTGATGAAACATGCAAAATCACAATTTTGAATATGTAAGCCGTCAGAATTCATCTATGACATGGTAGACATGGTTTACCTATGAAATAACATGTTTTAAATATGTAAACATAGGTAAACGATCATCATTCATAAATAAATGGACATTTTTTCATGTTTAAATCATCCGAGGGTATATGACTGTATCATGGGCATGGGTTCCACACAATCACCAGGTGGTTCTTCACATGGAATTTTCAGATGCAGGTGCTGTGAAGTGCTTCCAGGATGTGAAAACTATGGTGTTCCCCAACCATAATTTCCCAATGTTCCAATTTTTGGAATCTTTCACACCAAAACAATGGCTTGGGGTTGCTACATCCCACATCTACCAGGTTCCATTTAACCCTCCAGTAAATTAACTTTAGACCTTGGCATTTCTCGGGGTCGGAAGATGAGTTTCCCCTATCGAATGGGGGGACATCCATCGGATAATATTACCATAATCCTTATATTATATATAATATTAGAACTATATATATATACCAATATGTATATCATATCATTGTTCAGAAAAAAATAAGCAATAGATACGATCGGAATAACCCACCATTTCCGGTGAAAAATCCCAGTGACTTCCCATGGTTCCAAGGTCTCCAAGCCCGACGATGCACGGCCGGGCTCGGCCGCGCGCAAGCGAGGCGCCCTGGAAAAATCCACTGAATATGTTCTACAAATGGAGGTTTGAGATGGTTTGATATGGATTTTTATGGTGTATATACCCCAGATATCTCCAGATTTATGGGGATTTGTAAGGGTATTTTTATTTTTTATATTGATTTATTCACGCTAGCAGTTATTAAGCCAGTATTGACGGTTATTTTGGAGGTTTCCTAAGTCATGGGTTATCTAAGATTTAAAAGGTATGCTTTCATATGGTTCTATCTTATGCCAGAGGTTCGTGGCAGTTTAAGGTGGCAAGTTTGGTGGCAAGTTCGGTGGCGGTGGCAGTTAGATATGGCAATGTGGGTGGCATTTTCAGTGGCAATGAAGCGTTGGTGGCAAGTTTGATGGCAGAATGTGATGGCATGCATACAATATCCTTTGGCCATGCAATGTGCCATCTGCTTTTCCCACTTAAGCGTCGCGTCTTTAGCCCTTGCCACATTTTTTGCCAGGGCTTTGCTACCTGTGTTGCTATTGCTTTTGCCCGCAATGCAAGTTTGCCCTTTCGTTGCCACGTGTGTTGCCAAGGGCTTTTGCTCGCAGCCAAAATTTTGCCATTCAATTTGCTGCCTGTGCTTTTGCCCCCGCCAAGTATTTGCCAGTGTTTTTTGCCACCGATGTTGCCATTACATTTGCCCCCGTCGGTTTTTTCCATCCATGTTGCCCTGCAGATTGCCACCGCCATTGCCATAGCTTTTGCCCTCAAAGTTGCCATCTTTGTTGCCATCAAATTTGGGCGCCTAATAGAGCATTGTTCTTGAATTTTAGATAAGTCATGGGGTTACAATCATCCAGGTCATGGATGACCATTCTAGTATTGAACCCAAGAGTTTTGGAGTTCCCCCATTTTCGGAAACCCCCAAAATAGGCATCTTTCAATGGACATGTATCGGGTAATCACCCAACTGAAGTGGGTGATTTTCCAGCACGCCAGGTTGAATCCATGAAGGATATTGCACGTGCCAGGGTCAAAACATGGATAAATATATTATGATTTTTATTTTAATTGTCTTTGTTCGTGGGAATGGTCATTAATCCGATTTTCATTAAGATCGACATCCACAGTGACCCACTGAAGGGATTCCAACATGGGATGGGTGACCGGTCGGCAGGCAGCAAAAGTGTTGGACGAACGCAATACTTGGCACCGGCCAACATGGCCGAACGTTTGCGCGAGGCGGGTGGCGTTCGATCTTGGAGATCGGAAACGAGAAATCGTTTATGAAATTGAAGGCGAATATAGACGACCAGCAGGAGACATGTAGGTTGATCCCCTGTCAGAACCACCCGCAGGCTGTTTAGGGTGGACCTGCTCTACGTTTTGTTTCCACTACCCGCCCTGAAACGTCATTAGATTGTAGGTTGGTTGTCCATGCAAGGTGCATTCATTCTCAAAACTTCCTTAATTGTTCCCTAAATTCCATCCAATTTGACATAAATGTAGACAATTTGTAGTATCATTTTCCCAGGGTTCAAGTTTCACATGGAAAAACCATGGTTTTTCCCTGTTGTCTTGTGATCAGTACCGGAAGTTAGGCTAGGCTTCTGACTAATTTTTGGATTTTTTGACGCCTTTTTCCGTCTCGGAAGGCGCAGCTCGCAGCAGATGCGCAAGGTGCAAGGCGTCGGAAATACCTGGGATCCCTCGATTTGTCATCGAAAATGGCAAATGGATCATTTCTGGTTGGTGGTTTCAAACATGATTTGTATTACCCTCCAGTAAATTAACATAGACCCTGAAAATCACCCATTTTTTAATGGAAACTAATCTTCCAACCCTTATCTGGCAGGGTCTATGTTAATTTACTGGAGGGTAATATATGGGATGTCACTTCCCATCGGCTTTCATATTTTTCAAAATGGTTAAAACATGTTAAAACCACCAACTAGATTTTAAATAAAAATATGTTCATTTTAAATGAGACCATTGTCCTCTGAATAACAAATGGGGTAATTCTAGAATTACTCTCTAGATGACAATTTTCAATGAGAATATGTCCCGATGATGGTTTGTCTGAAAATGGGGTAATTCTACCCTGTAGACGATCGTTAATTAAGCAGAACACTGATGATAATAAACCGATGACATCGGGCACTATGATGCTAGCTATGTTCAGACACACCCAAATAATGATACTTTAGCAGCTAAATGAAAGGGGGCCCCCAATGAAACAGCCCGGGGTTTAAAAAAAATCAAGGGGTGACATGAGTTTTTTTGACAATGATGTTTTCCCTCGGGTCAGAGTTTGCTGCCAAATCACCTTTCAGCGATTTCGCTATGGTTTGTTTGAAATCTTGGTTTCCCCTGGTTTTGGCACCAACATCTTTGTATTTATATAAATAGTTGTTGGCGTTTCCCCCCCAAAAAAATCATTAACTGTTTAGAATCGTACCACATTGTATTGTAATGAATTTTGCAGTTATACAGTATATACATCATAATCACAATGTATCATACAAGGTGGCGCCCCCGTTGGAAATTGGTTAGAACATGTTAGAACATGTTAGAAACTCTCATGAACTACTTGTACATCCACCATAGACCTCATTTAACGTGTACAAAAACAACTAACTTAGCATAACTCGGCTATATCAGGGTAGGTGCCGCCACACCTACACGTCCATCCTGTTAAAAGCGACCGCTGACAGGCACGGAAGCCAGGTCGCGTCCGAAAAGGGCAACCCGACCACCGTGCTCTTCGGCCGACGGGTTTTTAGATGAGTTCAGAATTTGGCGATCCTGGCGATCCTCCTTTAACTCAGCACTATTTTGAATATATATATAATTAATATTTTAATAAGATATACAATACTTAATAGTTGCGGTGGAAAACTGCTAACCCAGATGAATTGCAGTTCATCCCAAGTCAAACGCCAATCTTTTTTTTGGATTTGTTTTACTTCTTTGTCTTCTGTGGCGTTGCAAAAAGTCACCATGGTTTTACCCTGGCCACCTTTGATGTCGACCCTGGTTGTCCCCTTCGAGAATGCCAAGGCCCTTAGGGTTTTCAACACCAACCTGCCGGTTGTCCTACTATCCGACTATCCCAGTGTGTAGAATGATTGGGGTCGGAATTGAAGTTGTGTGTTGTGGGGGGTTTTCAGTGGCATATAGGCATAGGGGTTGAAACAATCATCATTTGTGAGGGGCATTCTCACAGGGATTTGTTATGCTTGAAGGGATTTGAACGGTACTAATATATCCCATATCCTCCATGTATGGAATATTTACCAACATTAACCCTCAAAATCACCCAAATGTTGGTAAATATACCATACATGGAGCATATGGGTATCACATTGGTTTCCTGCAACTGCTCAAAATCACCCCAATCAACGCCATATATGAACAGATCTAAAACTGTTCATCTGAGGTTTGAAGGCCGGGGATGATGTCCCAGTCTGTGTTGCTTAAACCAGCCATGTCCATTGAATCATTTCCTTTCTGAGGCTTAGGTGTGAGAATGATTCAATCCATAACAGTCCATAACAGTCCAGAACTATTTTCTGGCTAAAAAGAATCAGCCCATTCCCTATTGGCCCCTCATTTCTATCCATGTCCAAGAAACGTTTAGCACCAGGAAGTTTGTTTTTTGGTCCAAAATCAGTCACAGTTATGGCCATTTATCAGTTATAAGTACTAACAAAACCCTATTTATAGAATGTAACTGGTAAAAAAATCCCATAAAAGTACTAAAACCCATTATAGTACTAATAAATCCCATCAAAATCACCACTTATAACTGGTTTTTTGGTCCAAAATCAGTCATGTCCTTCCGAGAACATCGCCACTTCCCAGGTTTACCAACTCCCTGGCGTCGTCAATGCTGAAAACCATGCTGCCAAGCTGCGCTTGGCAAACACCAGCGCAGCTCCTGCTGGTTGATTAATGATTGATCATGATGATTACTGTAATTATTCAGGAAGGCTTCGGTTCGTTTAGGTTCGTTTCGGTTCGTGGAAACCTCAAATAGGGGCGGTTCGGTTCATCAGCAGGCCGGTTCGTTTCGGTTCGTGTGACATGGCGGTTCGGTTCGGTTCGGTTCGGTTCGTGTGACATGGCGGTTCGGTTCGGTTCGGTTCGTGTTGTGTAGTGTTGCAGGACGAGAGGTCTTTGACAGAATGGGTGTGGATGAATATCAAATAGTAATGTTATGTTGCAGCAGAGGGATTTGGTTTTTGAATGTTTGAAACTGGTGGTGGGGCCGAGTGTTTGCAGCATCCGCCGTACTAGGACGAATACTATTAGATGTTTTCCTTAACTTGATTTTCACTGCGCGAAAATCATTTTCGGAGTTGTTTTGGCAAAAAGTGGAAAAAAGTAGTAGTAGTAGTAGTAGTAGTAGTAGTAGTAGTACTAGTACTAGTACTAGTACTAGTAGTAGTAGTACTAGTAGTAGTAGTAGTAGTAGTAGCAGGAGTAGTAGTAGTAGTAGTAGCAGTAGTAGTAGTAGTGGTAGTAGTAGTAGTAGTAGTGGTAGTAGTAGTAGTGGTAGTAGTAGTAGTAGTAGCAGTAGCAGTAGCAGTAGCAGTAGCAGCAATATAAGTAGAATTAGTAATAATAGTAGTAAAGAAGTAATACTAGTTCTAGTCAGACTACGAGTAAGAAAAATAGTAGCCTCTCGTCAGCGGTTCCCCAGCAGGTATGGGTCCCGACCGGGCTTTGCCGAACAGGAACGGGCAGAGAGGCTAGTAATAGAGGTAGCAATATAGTATACAACAGTAGGGGTGGTGATAGCAACAGTAATAGTAATAGTAGCAGCAGTAGTAGTCTAGCCGTACTAGGACGAATACTATTAGATGTTTTCCTTAACTTGATTTTCACTGCGCGAAAATTATTTTCGGAGTTGTTTTGGCAAAAAGTGGAAAAAAGTAGTAGTAGTAGTAGTAGCAGTAGTAGTAGTAGTGGTAGTAGTAAAAGTGTTTAGCAGTAAGCAGTACGTGTAAGCAGTAGGCAGGAGTAAGTGTGTAGGTACGTAGTAGTAGTAGTAGTAGTAGCAATAGCAGTAGTAGTGGTAGTAGCAGGAGTAGTAGTAGTAGTAATAGTAGTAGTAGCAGTAGCAGTAGCAGTAGCAGTAGCAGTAGTAGTAGTAGTAGCAGGAGTAGCAGGAGTAGCAATATAAGTAGAATTTGTAATAATAATAGTAAAGAAGTAATACTAGTTCTAGTAAGACTACGAGTAAGAAAAATAGTAGCCTCTCGTAAGCGGTTCCCCAGCAGGTATGGGTCCCGACCGGGCTTTGCCTAACAGGAACGGGCAGAGAGGCTAGTAATAGAGGTAGCAATATAATATACAACAGTAGTGGTGGTGATAGCAACAGTAATAGTAATAGTAGCAGCAGTAGTAGTCTAGCCGTACTACGACGAATACTATTAGATGTTTTCCTTAACTTGATTTTCACTGCGCGAAAATCATTTTCGGAGTTGTTTTGGCAAAAAGTGGAAAAAGTAGTAGTAGTAGTAGTAGTAGTAGTAGTAGTAGTAGCAGGAGTAGCAGGAGTAGCAGGAGTAGCAGGAGTAGTAGTAGTAGTAGTAGTAGTAGCAGTAGTAGTAGTAGCAGGAGTAGTAGGAGTAGTAGTAGTAGTAGTAGCAGTAGCAGTAGCAGTAGCAGTAGCAGCAATATAAGTAGAATTAGTAATAATAGTCGTAAAGAAGTAATACTAGTCTTAGTAAGGCTACGAGTAAGAAAAATAGTAGCCTCTCGTAAGCGGTTCCCCAGCAGGTATGGGTCCCGACCGGGCTTTGCCGAACAGGAACGGGCAGAGAGGCTAGTAATAGAGGTAGCAATATAATATACAACAGTAGTGGTGGTGATAGCAACAGTAATAGTAATAGTCGCAGCAGTAGTCTAGCCGTACACGGCTACTAGATGTTTTCCTTAACTTGATTTTCACTGCGCGAAAATCATTTTCGGAGTTGTTTTGGCAAAAAGTGGAAAAAAGTAGTAGTAGTAGTAGTAGCAGGAGTAGCAATATAAGTAGAATTTGTAATAATAATAGTAAAGAAGTAATACTAGTTCTAGTAAGACTACGAGTAAGAAAAATAGTAGCCTCTCGTAAGCGGTTCCCCAGCAGGTATGGGTCCCGACCGGGCTTTGCCTAACAGGAACGGGCAGAGAGGCTAGTAATAGAGGTAGCAATATAATATACAACAGTAGTGGTGGTGATAGCAACAGTAATAGTAATAGCAACAGTTGTTAGTAGCAGTAGTAGCAGTAGTAGCAGTAGTTTCAGTAGTTTCAGTAGTAGCAGTAGTAGCAGTAGTTTCAGTAGTTTCAGTAGTAGCAGTAGTAGCAGTAGTAGCAGTAGTAGCAGCCAGCACTGATCATTTGCAATTCCTGCAGCGCTTTGGCAGATTATGTTGCGCAGGAATCCATACAGTTGATTCCTCTTTCCAATTTGATTTTCAATTCGCGAAAATCATTTTCGGAACCCCCGGAAGCTGACAAAATATTTTTTTTGAGAATGTGGAACCGGTTCGGTTCCATTCGGTTTGCGTAAGAATAATTGGCGGTTCGGTTCGTGCCCATTCGGTTTGCGTAAGAATAATTGGCGGTTCGGTTCGTGCCGGTTCTTAGCCTGCCGGTTCCTGAACGCTTCGGTTCCCGGTTCACGGTTCGTTTCCTAAGCCATACTGTACTGTAATGATTAATAGTGGTCAGTAGTGATTAATAAATAATAATGATTATATAATGATTATTAATGATTAAATAATGATTATCAATGGCTATTAATGATTATCAATGATTATCAATGATTATCAATGGCTATTAATGATTATTGATGATTATCAATGATTATCAATGATTATTAATGATTATCAATGATTATCAATGATTATTAATGATTACCAATGATTATCAATGATTATCAATGACTATTAATGATTATTAATGATTATCAATGATTATCAATGATTATTAATGATTACCAATGATTATCAATGATTATCAATGATTATTAATGATTATTAATGATTATCAATGATTACCAATGATTATCAATGATTATCAATGATTATTAATGATTATCAATGATTATCAATGATTATCAATGATTATCAATGGCTATGAATGATTATTGATTATTATTGATGATTATTAATGACTATCAATGACTATTAATGATTATTGATGATTCACAGTGAATAATAGTGATAATAGTGATTTTTATTAATGATGAATAATAGGTTGATGAAAATGGAATGGTATAACTATTCTCCGGGCTTTTTTTTGTCATTGTGTTGTGACATCACGTCATCTCCTTACTGGAGTTTCATGGTGAATGTATAGGGGAATCATCCCCAAATGGCTGCAAGTTTCAGGTTCGTGAAGTAATTTACTCGGGCACTATCAATCCACCATTTCCGGAAGCTACCGATTCTTGGCAACTTAAGCAGACCCAAGAATCCCTGCAAGTAAAATTCCCATATGGAAAGGGAAACACAGGGAAACCCGATTTTCGAACAAATGAGTTTTGTTTGAGGAATCTTGACGGCCAGTTGAGCTGGAATCCGAAAACTTGGTAAAATCGAATAGTGATTGGTGGCTTTGCTCCTCTAGGCAAGTTGGTTGAAGACTACGCCAACCATGAAAAGTATTGAAAACATGTGATGTATTCAATCACAATATTGCCAATCTACTAAGAAAAAGCGAATACGATGAAGCTCCATATGATGTGGCAAGACAAAGATATCAAAGATGATCGAGAACTGTGAAGTACTGACTTCGCTTACAAACATGAACTATAATTCTGGAATATTATGAACAATGTGAATGGGGGATTAGTTCACCAATCTGCATTCCGCGATGATTGGACCAAGCGTCCAAGCTGTGCCGTATATCATTGTCCCGTGCAATTTTGGGAACCAGCAAGTGTGCCCACGGAGTTCCACGTCCATTGGGTTGTTCCGAGGTTGAAGAAGAACGCCCCAGCACCAGCAGTTAAGGTGAAGACCAGCATGAGTCCCTCGGCAAGAGGTTTCCAGCTGGGAAAAGCATTGAAGTTTAAAAAAACCTTGGTATTTTCCATTGGATTTCCAGTATATGGGATCTAAATGGATCCAGTTTTCCATGACCTGACTATCCAGATGTGTTTTCCATTGGTATTTTCCCTGGATTTGATAAAGATGGAACGGTCTTAGGCATCAAAGATGATGGGGATTAGAAAACTGATAAATGAATATAAATGATTTTTATTGGTTGATGACTATCCGACTATCCTGGATTTGCTGAGGCTGAGTCAAGACGATTTCTGTGTGTGTGTGCGTTTTTTTTTCCCAAAGGGAAATTCACTTCTTGGGGAATCTATTTTGTTGGGGGTACTTAATGTTACGTATGATCAATTAATATCAATTATATATAATCAGGTGCTGGCTTAGATGGGAATACGACACGCACATCATGGTGATGTTAGCCATTAAGCAAGCAAAGTTGAGCCTCAACAAAAATATGCAGGATGTGACCACAATGACTCAACCAAACAAGATAAGTACTTTACTTTACTTCGAGTGATCCCCACCATGGGATTTCAAGGCATATCTTCTGACATATTATTCTGACATTTTACCCAACATTCTATCTGGCAGATATTCTGACATTCTATCTGCCATTCTATTTGGCATCTATTGTGGCATTCTATCTTATCTTTGGGTTGAAATGCAGACTACCCACTCTTATCTACAGATTTTGGTCATGTTAGATTTTTTTCATGGGCTTGACCCCCCTGATGTTACACTTGTTTTTGAATGTTTTAGATGTGTTTTACCCATATAGGCCCGCAAAGCGCGCATTTTGGAAGTGGGATGATCCACTGGCATGAGCCAATGACGCGCTATGGTGCGTTCTTCATGGTAAATCAAGATTGCCAAGGGGAAGAGCTCAGGAACACATGCCAGCCATCATGGTTATCATGTTGCTGTTTTCAGAGATTGTCAACGTCCTATCTGGGATGATGGTCCCAGTTACCCGATACCACTGCTGGTTCTTTTATAATCTGTTTTGTCATTTAATGCATCCAAATGTAGACATATCCACAGTTTCAAAACATGAACCAGACATCTAGATGTGTAGCGTAGCTGGACATGTTTTGCCTCTCGGGTCACATCCTTCAGGTTTGGTCGGAGACTACGCATGGGATAAGGCCGGCGGACGCGATTTTGACAGTGTCGGGAAGTTCATCGAAACTTTGAAAGCAGCCAATAGTACGATATTTTCCCAAGGTAATTAAATGTAATGAATGTTATTTAATCATTTTAGTATGATATCAAATATACTACGTATGTATCGTTCCTTCTCTCCCAGTTTCAGTTTTTTTTTCTCTCAGCCTACTATCCATGTACATGCCTGACCTTCAGTGAAGAACCCTTGCCAAGAAAGACACTAGACTCAATTTGAATGGCTGGATTTGTGTAGGGAGATGATGAGAGATGCAGGTGCCCTTGTTGTGAACTTTGAGTGACGACCAGCTGGCGACTGATGTTCAAGGATGCATTTGCTGTCTCTAAGATTCACCATGCCAGAAATATCCGGGAAAGTAAACAGTGACATTGTCGCAGCATCATCGTCCAAGTCCCTTCTTGGGCAGATTCCATGGCATGTCTCTTTCAGCTGCAGAATTTTCCCATGAATCATGAGGCATCCTGCCACAGCAACCCCGGTGTAAGTAGGTGACCATCCCATTCACTCTGTAGTTGCTGTGGTAGCCACGGCTGTGGGAAGCATTCATGGGTTCAAATCTGAATTATCACTGGGTCATCTCACTGTCTATATTGTCAATTTGTAGTTGGCATGGAACGACCTAACCCAAAAATCCAAAGTGGTGAAGAAGAATACATTTTGCTATCCAGCAGGCTAGGACCCTACTTAGAAGTGGGTTTCAATTTCCTACACGTTCTAGTCCTCAAATGGTGCCATTTCTCATTCATATTCAATTAACGTGTCCAGTAAACTGAACTGAGGATGTGTAATATACATGTATATATATATTCATATATTTCTTTATCTACAGTATCTATTTGTTCATTTGATGTCATTTGTGTTGCATATATATATATTATTATTATTTATTTATATATGTTTACATTTATTTATTTATATATATATATATTTATATTTGCATACATGTATGCATGCATTCTTGGATACAATACATTTATGAATTTATGACTGTGAGCCACAAAAAGGTTAGCATACGCCCCCAGACTGCTCCACTCTGCCATTGTTTTGGACCGTTCTCCTTCTTCGCAGGTTGTGAAGAAGTTCGAGTCCAACTTGGCCAAACACAACTTCACCCCTGATCTGGCTGCAGGACGGAACCATAGGGAACCGATTTTTACCGTTGCTTGATGAGAACAGTTGGGTCATGTTTAAACATGTTTTTCTTTCGGGTCATGTTTTGTGTGTGTTTTTTTTGGGTGTGTGTTAAAGTTATAGTTACTATAGTTGATAGATGCTGGTAGATGATTAATTTTGGGCTCATATAATTGATGGTTGGTTGATGACTATAGGAGGTCGTACTACCCTTTTTTATTGGGGATTGCCTCTGCAATAATGGTGTTGAACACTGCTCGGATCACTCTTCAGTGACTCCGGCGAGACGGGGGGCCCCGAACATGACCTGTTTTCAGCTTGGAGTGGTTGGAGGATTGTTGTGTTTCAGCATCGATGGTTCGGTCGGGCACCTGAATTTTCTGGCCCTATGTGATCAGCTTCAAGATATGAGATTCGAGCTGAAAGGGGGCGTATAGGTTCTAATAATAAATAGGCTCTCCAACCGCGGTGAGGACAATGGAAGAGTCACTTCGCCTGGGATTTGCTGCACGATGATCCCTTGTCAGGCGGGTGTGTGTGCATGGGGATCTTCCTCATAAATGCAGAATCTAGAGTGACCAGATGCAAATGGTAAGGGCTGCTCATGATGATCGCCCGCACCTTATTTAATACATAGCTTGAATTCTGGAATGTCGTTTCTAAATGTTTCAAAATCTGTCAAATATGGGGATGGGTCAAAAAATGTCAAAAACCTATTACCATTATATACTACCATATTTGAGGGGATAAGCATCCAGAAACCAGCTCTGACTTTGGGGTACCATCCGAGTACCAGGAGTCTTGACTCATCGATCTGGTTTTCACCATGGCAATGGAAAAGCCATAGTTTGCCTATAACGTGGTCCATAAATGATAGGTTGTCCATATTTAATTTGCTGGAGGGTGAATCCGATTACATGAATTCTTGGAGTATTTGTTGGTTTTCCAAAAACTAGATAAAACATATAGGACTATTATCAAAGGAAGTTTAGGGGGAGAAACTTCCGTGTTACGGACTTTTGGAATGTCAGGGAAAGAGTTAGTCGAAGAAAGAGTTAGTGAGGGAAAGAGTTAGTTAGGGAAAGAGTTAATTGTAACTTTTAGATTGTCAGGGAAAGAGTTAGTCAAAGGAAGAGTTAGTGAGGGAAAGAGTTAGTTAGGGACAGAGTTAATTGTAACTTTTAGATTGTCAGGGAAAGAGTTAGTCAAAGGAAGAGTTAGTGAGGGAAAGAGTTAGTTAGGGACAGAGTTAATTGTAACTTTTAGAAGTCAGGGAAAGAGTTAGTCAAAGAAAGAGTTAGTGAGGGAAAGAGTTAGTTAGGGAAAGAGTTAATTGTAACTTTTAGATTGTCAGGGAAAGAGTTAGTCAAAGGAAGAGTTAGTGAGGGAAAGAGTTAGTTAGGGACAGAGTTAATTGTAACTTTTAGATTGTCAGGGAAAGAGTTAGTCAAAGGAAGAGTTAGTGAGGGAAAGAGTTAGTTAGGGACAGATTTAATTGTAACTTTTAGAATGTCAGGGAAAGAGTTAGTCAAAGGAAGGGTTAGTGAGGGAAAGAGTGCCATTGTGATTTGCAACTGCAGGATCGTTCCCGCAATGTAAATGGGATTGCACGTGGTGCTGGTGGATGAGTTGCCGATGGAATTCCATTGTGATTTGCAACTGTAGGATCGTTCCCGGAATGTAAATGGGATTGCAAGTGGTGCTGGTGGAGGAGTTGCCGATGGAGTTTTGAAGGAAGTCTCGCACGAAATGCGTTTTTGAGAGATAGCAGATGCACGAAACCCTATGTTTTTCCACACAAAGTCCGTCCCCGAACCTCGATGATCTACCTCTGCGGTGCGACGGTTGCGAGACGGTCTCGTGTGTGGTCGGATCATGCTCGGATCGGTTCCGCATTGTAAATGGGGTTTCAACTGTTTTTCGTGCATGTGCGGTCGACAGAATTCCATTGTGATTTGCAACTGCAGGATCGTTCCCGCAATGTAAATGGGATTGCAAGTGGTGCTGGTGGATGAGTTGCCGATGGAATTCCATTGTGATTTGCAACTCTAGGATCGTTCCCTCACTGTAAATGGGATTGCAAGTGGTGCTGGTGGATGAGTTGCCGATGGAGTTTTGAAGGAAGTCTCGCACGAAATGCGTTTTTGAGAGATAGCAGATGCACGAAACCCTATGTTTTTCCATACAAAGTCCGTCCCTGAACCTCGATGATCTACCTCTGCGGTGCGACGGTTGCGAGACGGTCTCGTGTGTGGTCGGATCATGCTCGGATCATGGTCGGATCATGGTCGGATCGGTTCCGCATTGTAAATGGGGTTTCAACTGTTTTTCGTGCATGTGCGGTCGACAGAATTCCATTGTGATTTGCAACTGTAGGATCGTTCCCGCATTGTAAATGGGGTTGCAAGTGGTGCTGGTGGATGAGTTGCCGATGGAATTCCATTGTGATTTGCAACTCTAGGATCGTTCCCGCAATGCAAATGGGATTGCAAGTGGTGCTGGTGGAGGAGTTGCCGATGGAGTTTTGGAGGAAGTCTCGCACGAAATGCGTTTTTGAGAGATAGCAGATGCACGAACCCCTATGTTTTTCCATACAAAGTCCGTCCCCGAACCTCGATGATCTACCTCTGCGGTGCGACGGTTGCGAGACGGTCTCGTGTGTGGTCGGATCATGGTCGGATCGGTTCCGCATTGTAAATGGGGTTTCAACGGTTTCAACTGTTTTTCGTGCTTGTGCGGTCGACAGAATTCCATTGTGATTTGCAACTGTAGGATCGTTCCCGCAGTGTAAATGGGATTGCAAGTGGTGCTGGTGGATGAGTTGCCGATAGATTTCCATTGTGATTTGCAACTGTAGGATCGTTCCCGCAATGCAAATGGCATTGCAAGTGGTGCTGGTGGAGGAGTTGCCGATGGAATTCCATTGTGCTTTGCAACTGTAGGATCGTTCCCGCAATGTAAATGGGATTGCAAGTGTTGCTGGTGGATGAGTTGCCGATGGAATTCCATTGTGCTTTGCAACTGTAGTATCGTTCCCGCAATTTCTAGAAGGTTTCAAATGCTTCGGTGGACGAGCTGAGGACGTAATACCATTGTGTTTTGCTAGGGATTGTTGCTAATCGCATTGTAATGGCTGCGTGAACTTGCTGCAGCTGGATTCTTTCAGATTTTGCCTGCTTTCATTTTCTATTTAAATTCTTTATAAAAAACGCTTCAAAAATCAACTTTTTCTGCTCTGGCGTCGAGATCCGGTTTTGGAGCTACAATTTCCGACGCCATTGCGCGTAGTTCTATTGTGTTTTGCAAATCAGTCTCTGCGGATCGCATTGTAATGGCTGCGTCAAGGTTGCTTCCTGCTTTGGCTGCATGCGTAATACTATTGTCTTTTGCAGCAGGACTTCGTAAATCGTATTGGAGTGGCTGCATGAAGGCTCCGACAGTGATTTGTCAGCAGATTTTCTCCATTTTGGCGCTAGTGATTTTCCTTCTAAAAATCCTTTTAAAAAGTGCTTCAAAATCGTCTTTTTTTCGCTCTGGCGTCGAGATCCGGTTTTGGAGCTACAATTTCCGACGCCGTTGCGCGTAGTTTTATTGTGTTTTGCAACTCAGTCTCTGCAGATCGCATTGTAATGGCTGCGTCAAGGTTGCTTCGTGCTGTGGCTGCATTCGTAATACTATTGTCTTTTGCAGCTGGATCTCGGAAATCGTCTTGGAGTGGCTGCATGAAAGCTGCGAAATGGATTTGTTAGCAGATTTTCTCCATTTTGGCACTAGTGTTTTTTTGTTGCACGTAGGTTTAGAGCAGTGTGAAGTGTGGGGCGTGAAGAGTGCAGTGTGAAGTGTAAAGTGTGAAGGAAGCAGTGGGAAGTGAGAAGTGTGAAGTGTGAAATGTGAAGTGTGAAGTGTGGAGTGTGAAGTTTAAGTTTGGAGTGCGAAGAGCGCAGTGTGAAGTGTGAAGTGTGAAGTGTGAGGTTTGGAGTGTGAAGGAAGCAGTGAGAAGTGAGAAGTGCGAAGTGTGGACTGTGAAGTGTGAAGTGTGAAGTGTGAAGTGTGGAGTGTGAAGTTTGAAGTTTGGAGTGCGAAGAGTGCAGTGTGAAGTGTGGAGTGTGGAGTGTGAAGACTTTGCTTCGTCTCTCGCTGAAAAAAAAGCCGCTTGTCGAGGGAAGGACACGGTCGGGACAGGTTGTCTTCGAACTATAGGTCATTTATTTTTGGGAAACTTCCGCCGCCGGCTTGCCCGGGTACTTGTAAGACTGTTTTTTACCCGTCTATAGTATAATATTAATATATATATATATATATGGATATATATTTCTATATATCTATATATCCATATATCTATATATCTATCTATCTATCTATCTACCTATCTATCTATCTATCTATCTACCTATATATATATATCTATATATCTATAAGTAGGCCCTATATGTTTCATGGACTTCAAGCCCCACGAATCTTATCCCATGACTTTTGCCCAGGTCGTTTGCCGGATCGTCCTCTGACTGCTCCGTGGGGACGCTACAGTTCGAGCGTGAGTTCTCGGGTGAAAAGAGACTTCCCTATGCCGATAAATATAACCTCATAATACCTTAGTATACATATTATATATATATATAGGATTACATAGCAAGACATGTGTACACTTACAATTTAAATATAAACATAATATAATTATATATATATATATATATATCAATTTATGATATAGTTATTATACACACACATATATATATACACGTATGTATGCACTAAAAATAGATATGTACTAAATATACCTACCTATACCTATCTACATATACCTGTGTGTATCATAGAAATGATCGAACAAACCAATATACATATCTCATATCTATAGCTGCCGCATCAAACTGCCCCCTAATTCTTCGGCTCAGCGCAGGGACCTGAGCATAGAAGGCATGCAGCACAGTGGTATCAAGGCTCCATTGGTCATCCTTGCCAGGGATCCGTGATCCACCATACCCCACGGTGACGGTGGTCAGGGCCATGACAAGTGGAGGAATCTACCCAATGGCTCGCCTCCCTCAGCTTTGAACTGATGAGCTGTGTGGGTGTATCTCGACCTTTTGTTTCACACTGGATCCAAATTATAGGTTTTGTAGGGTTATGCTTCGGCATTACAGGCTCACCCCAGGAGTTTACACAATACTGAAAATATGAAAAAATAGGATTGACTTCCGAACAAGAAAGGAAAAAAAGTGGAGAAAAAAACACATGATTTTTACCTTAGTTTTTTTCCATTGGTGTTCCTATGTGTTTCCTATTTTCCTAATGTTCTCGAGTTTTTTAATTTTCCAGAAATTTTGGCTAAACTTTGGAATTCATTTTTGGCCACCAGCCAAAGTTTTGGACTTCATGTTAGGAAAAAAAATCTAGGTGGCCAAAAATGATTTCCGAACTTTGGCTAAGTTTTCTGATAAGTTGAACATTTGCAAACTCTCGACAAAAGCAGGAAAAAAGAGGAACATGATAGGAAAAAAAAGGAACGCAATTAGGCAAAGTAGGAAGACCAACAAGAAAAAATGGAACAACAATTAGGAAAGACAATAGGATGTCAAAATCTTTGTCCACCAATTTGTACCTATTTGTTTTGGAGGTCAATCCAATTTTTCCTACTTTTTTTTGGTCTATTTGATTGATTTCCAATGGTACCTTGAATAGGTAAACATAAATTTAGCTTCTATGGTGAATATATATATATATACAGTATCATTTCCAGATTAAGTTGATGGGGGTGACAGACCAGCTTACCCTCCAGTAATAAAACATGGCCTGCTGGAACCCCCCTCAGTTAGTTCGATTATTATCCCAGCTATTAGTTGCATCATTTAGTTTCGGATGTCCCACCTAGCCACATATGATTATCAGAAGGGAAGTCCAATTATATATATATATGTATATATATATATATGTATACATATATATGTATATATATGTATATATATATATATGTGTATATATATGCATATATATATATGTATATATATATGTATATATATATGTATATATATATATATCCCACAATAACCCTATTATATCCCATTATACCACCATGTTTCTCGGTTTTGGATCACCTTCTTTGGTGGATCAATTGCCATTAGAAAACAAAACAACCCTCCATTTATAAAGATTTGTCTTCCCAAGATTTGTCCATCACATTATATTAATTATATCATATTCCAATATGTTGCATGTGTTTTCCCCATATGTTCCCATCATTTCCCGGATCCCCGAGGCCGCTTCAAGTGAAGCATCAGCCGCCGCACCAACGTCGCAGCATCTGGTCCACCGCCGTGGCAAGGCACACGGTGGCCGCCTGTGAAGCGTCCGGGACGGCCAGGATGGCAGAGATTTCTTTGGAGAACATCAATAGGTTTGGAACATGACTTTCATGACTTTCCATATATTGGGAATTTCATGATCCCAACTGACTTTCATATTTACCAGAGGGGTTGAAACCACCAACCAGTACATACATACATACATGCATGGATGTATGTATGTAATGTAATGTAATGTAATGTAAAGTAATGTAATGCATGTATGTAATATATATATATATATATAGAGAGAACCACAGAACAACTATGAACCGTGGAAAATAGTATGTGTATAAAGGATAGTGTATAGTGATATATGGAGAACCATAGAATCTTTAATATACGCAATATATCTATATCTATGATATGTATTATTAACCATGGAGAACCATAGAATTCTGAGAGCTTTTGTTTGATTGATCAATAACATATATATATAGATATAGATGTTATAATATAATAAAAGCAATATAATGTTGGTAAACAATAATAAACCATCCACAATTTCACCATAATGGTTTGTGGTACTGTACTTTTTAATTCCCAAATGAATGGTGAATATTATTGTTTTATCAATTTTACCGACATTATATATAGTATATGTATTATTAACCATTGAGAACCATAAAATTCGGAGAGCTTTTGTTTGATTGATCAATAATATATATATATATATACAGCACCCGACAGAATTATGGAAAAGAAAAAACGTTTCAATTTACAGGCGCCGCCTGTCTATGATAGAAAAGTTACGAACCTTTTTTTTTCCATAATTATTTTTTCCATAGTTATTTTTTTCCATAATTCTGTCGGTGACTGTATGTCCATCGATTCGCAATTTGAATGCATTTTAAGGGGGAATATTGAATTATAGAAAATATGTGTCTAAAGATCTGGTATATGCCCCTAAGTCTTCCATTGATATACATAATATCATGTGATGTTCGCAATTTGAATGCATTTTAAGGGGGAATATTGAATTGTAGAAAATATGTGTCTAAAGATCTGGTATATGCCCCTAAAGCCACCAATTGGGTTGATACTACATACTTGCATTTACATACATATTTCCATAACCCCCCCAAAAAAGGGGTTTGAATTGTGGATCCATGACATGTCCAACAGGTGGAGCCCCAAACATTAATTATGGAAAAAATAATTATGGAAAAAATAATTATGGAAAAACCGGTCAATCTGCCCAGGCCCCCTGATTTTACAGGAAAAATCAATTATGGAAATAATGGCAACCTCCAAGAATTATGGAAAAAAAAAGGTTCGGATCAAATTATGGAAAAATCGGACGCAGGCGCCGCCTGTCTAAGTTGAACGTTTTTTTTTCCCATAATTCTGTCGGTGACCATATATATATATTGATATAGATATAGATGCTATAATAGAATAAAAGCAATATAATGTTGGTAAAACAATAATAAACCATCCACAATTTCACCATAATGGTTGGTGGTACTGTACTTTTTAATTTCCAAATGGATGGTGGATATTATTGTTTTATCAATTTTACCGACATTATATATAGTATATGTATTATTAACCATTGAGAACATAAAATTCGGAGAACTTTTTTTTATTATTAGATTTTTTTTTAATTTCAATGGTGAATGATATATATATATATATATTGTCCTAAAGTAGATTGAATGTGGAATTCTATTTGTTTCACTTTGGGGTTGTTGGATTTTTTAATTGTTTTTGTTCCCCATTTTCTACTCCAGGGTGACTCTAAATTTATGGTGCATTTAAGTGTAACAAAAATATAATCTAATTGTAACTACATAATGGGTATGGCGGATATGGTTCAGGATACATCTATAGTTAAGGGAGTTTATTATAAACCATTCTCTAGTGGGATATTAATATATGTAACTTGATACTTGCTGGACATCATACCGGTATAATAATGGGAACGTAGCTAACAGCTAACAAATGGGATTGCAGTGGAGATAGTTTGGAATATAATGGGGTTATAAGTAACCTCTCATCCTTGGAATCAATGGGAATACATGGGAAAATTTACCCATAAAAATAGGTATATGATGGGGATATAGCTGAATAACGCGGGATATGGTGATGAACTTTTTAATGGGGATAGGACCAGCAAAAATCTTTATAGAAACTATAATTGGGGATATGATGGGATGTCAATCAGTGTATTTGCATGAAATCTCATGAATTATAATGACCTCAATCTGGCAGGGGATATCTTTTGGGCCACCAACCAAAGACCTTCGTAATCATACGTGGCTAGCTAGGAAATAAACTAAATGGTGCACATCCATTGCCATGCTCGATTACCCCAGGGTAATTGGGATAATTCTAATGGGAATAATTGCATCATTGGGGATCATGTATTGGCAAATGAGGAACTATAACTGGGTTCAGTAAAGGGGCTAGGCAACGCGGATATCAACGCAGTGAAGAGTGCGCCTGGAACAGCCTCTGAATCACAATCAAAAATGGCGATGGATGATCATGCATGTGTATTCTGCTTGGTGGTTTGGAACATGAATTTTATGACTTTCCATATATTGGGAATTTCATCATCCCAACTGACTTTCGTATTTTTCAGAGGGGTTCAAAGCACCAACCAGTATTTAGATGTTTTTCCATTTTGCAAATTGTGTGTTTGTTTATCAGTTGTGGTTTTTGTCATATTCACGTTCTACCCCTGCTATTTTTTCCCCATTGCCCACTGATTAAATGTTCATAGTTGACATGGATTATCCACATTGTGGCTGAAAACCAGCACTTTGTTTCGCCAGGTTTCGCCCGGTTCTGCTTGGGTTCATGGGGGGTTGCAAGGTCAACCACTGCGGCTGAGGGCGAGCAAGATGAAAACAGACGCCTGGCGGAGGGGGGCACCGGCGGAGCAGGTGCCCAAAGCGTAACGCGAAGCGTAGAAAATCACCTTCGTGCTTCGGGAAATTTCCAGGACCCCTGTAGCAAAAAATCCGGCAAAACCAAATATCGAAAAACATGAACTCCTGTAATCAAACATGGTTTGCTGGACACATTCCTCTATAGATGACCAAAATAAAAAATCCAGATCGATGATCCATGTAGGGTTTTTCCCAGCGACAGATCACCAGGTCATCCAAAGCCTCCCGTCCTGATTTTGCTGAGAACCCACCTCGGCGCCCATGCTCTTTGCCCTGGCGAAGTTTATGTCAAGGATGCGGAACAAGAAACCCAGGTGGGAGTTATGGATTTGTCGGATGTTCGATGAATTTGTTGGATATATTTATTTGATGCATGGGAAACATACAAGCACACACATAAATATATATATAATATACAGACAGTACGTATGATTATGCGTGTGTATGCATTGTATGTATCATGGGGTCACAATAATGCGAGTAAATGGGTCCATATAACGGGTGTATAATGGAGATGTATATAGTGGGAATTTGAATGTAATGGGGCTCAACATGATTAGTGATTCGTGGGTTTTAACCATTTTATGGCGATCTGGCGATCTCAGGGGGGTTCAATGCGATACGATCGGATATATATATATATATATATACACTGTATATTTATAATTATATATATATAATATATACCATCAATCTGGGATTTGGGTTTGTCCCAACAATTGATGATGACTTGACAGCGACGTCGTGACATGTGAACTCGGCTCATCTTCAGCTCGCTGGATCGATGTTGAAGCATTGGGGGCTGTGAATCGCATGGATTCCAATGGATTCCCCATGGCCCTTTTTTTGTGCCCAGCCGCCCAGTCAAGTGGACAACTTCTTCTACGTCAACGCGGTGAAGGAAAAGTGGCAACAGAGGTCCTCTCGCCTGAAGCTCTTGACTGAGGATATGGAAAAGGTTCCTGCGGGAGGGCTGAGGGCTGTGAACCCGCAACTTTTTGAAATTGGTATTTGATGCCTGAAAATGGGGCAGGCTACTGTGTAGCCATACTACACAATCCCGGTCCCCTGATGTCAAAACACCAACAAAAACTGGTTGATCAAGGGATTTGGACATTTTTGGACCAAACAGAGGGTGTTTGATATTGGTGATTTGATTCAATATGGAACAGGATGGGGATGTGAAATGGTAACTTACCAGCCAATATGTTCCTGATTGGACTGATTGGTGGTTTGGAACATTTTGTATTTTCCCATATATTGGGAATAGTAACCCCAACTGACATATTTTTCAGAGGGGTTGCAACCACCAACCAGGTTCAATTTTAATATGGGTTTGTCAATGGGGTAGGATTCTCCCAAACTAACACTACTTTGGAACAGGTTTTAATCCATTAGATGGAATGGGGTAGGAGGCTGCATGAATCCGTGCTTCAAAAGAATATGTAAGATCTATTTGTATATATATATATAGTTATATATATATATATATTGTGTAAATATAGTTTTAGTAGTGTTATAGTCTCAGTTAAATATCTATATATATATATACATGCATATTCATAGTTGCATTTGGTAGTTGATATAAGTCTCACTCAAAAAATATATATAGTGTTATATAAGAAGGCGTTTTTATCTATCTGTATACATTTGCATTTGTTTAATTTATTCGGTCATTCCGTGATTCAATGCCCTTGATTGGCAACTGATGAGTGATGGAGGTGCAAAGAAATGGAAACTCGTAGCATCTCGTAGCTATTTGACTCTGTTTCCGGAATCGAAAGCCCGTTGATCCTCACGACTTGTAACATGTGTGACAGAATAGAAATGCACTTTATGTAGCCATTATCTGTGAAGACCTCTGTTTTTCCAAAACCCATAGGATCCATGTATGCTATGGTAACAGTTACCATCAATATACCCCCAATGTTAGCATATATACCATACATGGATCCTATGGAAATGACCCATCGTCATTTTTTTAATTTAAACTTTGTTGTCTTCGTTGTGGGTTTGCTTATCGCAGTTTTTAAGCTGTCTTGTGGTTTCAGATCCCCGGACTATGGACTCGTGATGGATCCCAAGCGTAGAGTTCTATATCCATTCTAGCCCTGACAAGCTTTAAGGTAGATGATATTAGTAGATACCAAACTTACCTAAACTGTACTGTTCGAATCTTTATTCTGAGGATTCAAACTCAGGATGCCATATTCTGGAGGAAGAACATCCATGACTCCTGTGCCATGTGAAGAACCGGTGGCCAGGGTTCATGATTCACAGCCACCTCTCCAATGTGAGTTGGTCGAGATGCTTCTTCCTTTCATAGGCTTGCCTCATTGGGGGTTTCCCCAAAAATGCGGGATCCCCAAAACATCCCAAAAACCATACAGCTTTCCTACAATGGCTTATAGAGTCGACGACTGGATGATTTGGGGCTACCCGCGCCTCAGGAATACCGACATGTGCGGCAGAAGCTGATCGAAGAGAAAGGCCGTCAAGTCTAGTTCGGCAAGGGTGGTGTCACCGAATGGCTGGGCTAATCATCATGTTAATAATGGTTATTTCTGACAAATAGTGACTACTAGATCTTGGTAGATCATAGATATCATACTTAATTGGTGTTAATAGAATATCTTATTTATTATGGTTATTACAGTGATTACTACGGTGATTACTACATGTATTACTTCCTATGGTTATTCTCCAATGACGTCTGCCCGTTTTGGTAAAAGTTTATATACAAAGATGTGGAAAACAACCGTGGTTTCTCGTTACCGGAAGGTGAGGAGCTGAAATTTCCCCGAGGATAACGCGGCTTTAACTGATTGGTTTGGGATGTTGGGGCGTACCCCTTCTTTAGACCCTTCCTCATATATTAAAGTATGTAATAATTTGGTATTTCTAGGTGGCATAATACACAATAATCCAAAGCTCTTGTATCAAGCATAGAACTATGTGTGCATGTCTACTCGTTGAAGGTAAATTAGGATTGGAAAATCGTTCCCCTGTGGTAATTTAATGGTCCGCTATGGGATATCGCCATTTCTAATAGGTAAATCATCAGCCATGGGCCATGGCTTCCATTTTGTCTTTGTTTACTGGAGGGTACATGTTGCAAGAGGCCGGATTTGTCACAACCTGGATACCCTTCCAGGAACCAACTGTGATTTGCTCATTGTTACCATCCATCTAAACCTGTAGGGTGACTTGGAGATGATCCATACATGCGTGTTTTCTATCTTCATTTGTGAGCGAAACTGCCCTACCCCCAACTGACCATCTATGGCGTTCCACGGCTCAGCCCCTTGTGAGGCATTTGGCTGCAGAAATCACGAAAGAAGGTCGAACAGATGCAACTCCATTTGGAGCGCTGGGTCGGGGCCAGAGGGACCCAAATCGGGATTTCATTTGGCAAAATGGCACCTGAGCCTCAGCCAACCAAAAAAACATTGGGAGAGAATGGGATCTTTCAATCAGTGCCAAAGCCTATGGGTGAATAATAGACACGATTACTATAAATTGAGATACATGATGTCATAGATTTATTGACTTCAAATCTGGCTTCAGATGTTTCACGTTTTATTGAGATGAATTTGGTTTCCTCAATCCATGGCTCAGCCTCACAAATGATCATAAAAGTAGCGAAACGGCATCAAGATATATCAAGGTCATCAAGACGCCATGGCGAACTCAAGTGAGATTGACAAACACAGCAAACTTCAAACTATTTTCCGTTTTTTTGGTTCAAGTAGTGTCAGTCATCTAAAATATCCAAAGTTGATTGGTTTCATCCTCCACTTTAGTTTTTTTTGGTGGGACCGGTTCATTCCTCAAAACCTCCTGCTGGTAGGTCAACTTCCCCCTTGCCAGTGTTGCTCCAGCCTACACTGTAGAGGTATAGATATTATAATTGGTTGTCAAAACGAGGAAAATTGTTTTGTTCATTTGTATTTTGCCCCGTTTCACTGATCATCACTTTCTGTTGGTTTCAGAAAACTGGATCCATATTTGTGAAGATTTTGGAGCTGAATACTTATTTTCAAATCCTGCACTGGCATGTATACATTAGCCTTACAAACCCTAACATGCCCCAACTCTAAACTAAAGATACATATCAGATATATTCAGATATATATTCATATATATATATCTACCATACACCCTATGATTAATTTACTTGTTTACACCAACTTAGTACAACTTAGCAAACACCATGGTTTTTGCCAAGATCCCTGGGAATTTTAGCATCGGAGCCTCCCTCAAGGAGGAAGATCTGGATCCGACGGGAGGATTTGATCGTCAGAAACGAAATTTGTCGCAGGGCAGCATGGGAAGCAGGGTGGTTGACTGGGTCACCCTTAGGGGTACAGTCAGTTGGTACCTACAGTTGGTACGGTTGGTGCCAGTATAGAATTATATTTAAAGAATTAAAGACTGGTACTGTTTTAACCATTTTATGTGGTTAGCCCACTTCACCTTCACAGGAAGCACTGTCTGCGAAAGCCCTGCAGGCGCGAGCGCGGCGCGCTTCAGCAAGAGCAGCGGGGATTCGACTCCTTGTCTTTTGTGAGGCGGTGGAGCTATGGAGCCATGGAGCCATGGAGCCATGACGGATCCATGGTGCTGGTATATTAATGCTAACAAAAAGAGGGGTTTTTGTTGATGGGATCCATGTTACCAAAGGAATAGCAGCACCATGGATCCTATGGGTTGGACACATTAAGAAATGGGTAAGATCACGGGAGTTGAAGCCCTCGGCAAAAAGAGTTAGCCACGATGGGAGTGTTGACTGCTTGGTGGTTGTGAAGAATTGTGAATCGTGATATTTTTTAATTTTTCATCGTTTCCATTCCTGAAGGTGTCACCTGAATAGCCTGAATAGGTTTTGACTGCCAGAGTTGCATCAGGTGGAAAGTCGACAAGCAGCTGAAGCAAGCGATGCAGGCGCGGTCCAGTTACGGTCCAGTTACGCTTAGTGTTGGCGGACTTGGAAAACCACCATAGCCCAGAAGGAAACATGGTGGTTTAGCATGGTGGTCTTCCATGGTGGGTTACCATAGTGTTAGGGTAAAATCACTTGGATCACCGAATTCGTAGGACATCGTGGTTTACCTGCTTTGCTTGACAGGAAGACCTGCTTTGCTTGGGAGAATTGCAGCACGTCAGTCTCCATTTCGACATAGCCCCAGGACCTCAAGAGCCTCCCCAGCGGTAGTCAGTATGCCCGGTTAGTTCCTGGATGGGGCGAACCCCATCATTTGTTTGGCGGGGATGGCTTGAAACCACAGGTCATGTTTGATTACCCAAATAGCAACCCATCAAATCACGACATGCCATGAGATAGTTGGTCAATACCGCCATGATCTCCGGGAAAAATTGCTGCAGCTATTCCCCATATCCATGTGAATGTGTATAGTATGACCGCTGTCAGAGTTTTAATGAGAGGTTTTTTAAAGTGCATCCTGTATGGGCAAACTGTTTGCAGAATTGGTTAGTTGGAAGGAAATTGTGCAGGAAATTCTCTATTTGTTGGCGGAAACCAATGGTTTCCTGCAGATGTCTCCCTAAACCACTCCATTGGATAGTCTGTTATCATTGGTGAATGTCTCAGTTTTATCATTATCATTTTTTCATGGCATTCCATAGGGATACTAATATCCCCCAAATTGACATAAGACCCCACCATGAGTTTGGGGTTGGAATATTAGTTTCCACCAAAAATTGGTTACTTTCAGGTCAATCAGTTAATTTATGTTGATTTATGTTAATTTATGTTAATTTACTTGTGGGTACCAACTATTATCAGAGGATGATCCCAACAATTTGTAATTAAGGTTTTTACCACAAGTCTCTTATTTTATATAGTCGAATGAATTTATTATCCAATGCCAATGCAATCATTGAGCCATATCAATCAGCTATAAATCCCATAAAGTCTCCATTTTTAAGCTATGAAACCTACAGTTTTCCACAATTTCCCTTATAAAATCCCTGTAAATCCCTCGTATAATCCCCTATAATTCCCATAAATTCACCAATAAATCCCCATAACCCCCTACAAATCCTCCATAGATTCCCTAGAAAACCCCCCTATAAATCCCCAGAGGAAGCGGAGCGCGGCAGCCGCGTGGGCCCGGTGACGCGGGAGCGCACCGCTGGTCCGCCGCCCCACGAACCCGTGTGGATCGCTGGGGATAAGAGGCGCCGTGGAGCGCCGTGGAAGGGTTGCAGGGATCAATGGGTGCCTGAACCACTTGAACCAAGGAAAAACCTATGGCAATCATATGGATTTTTGATTTTTGTTGGGATTTCAGGATGAATGAAGATTATTTTGGGAGGTTTCATCATGAAACATTATGAAACATTGGGCTTTGTATGGAAAACTTGTATTTTGTGGTGATGTTTTTGTTGTCAACACCAGTAAGAGGCCATGCGCGTGTGGATATTTTGGGTGTTGGGGCGGGTGGGGGGCGGGTTGTATTGTGGGGGGGATGTTAACGTTCATTGCGACTGCGACCACATTACACTTCCACACATACGTCATGCTACGCTGCTGCACATTCTCTTGCGCTTCCACACATACGTCATGCTACGCTGCACGTTCTCTCGCACTTCCACGCATACATCATGCTACGCTTCTGCACGTTCTCCTGCATTTCCACACATACGTCATTCTACGCTGCTGCACGTTCTCTTGCACTTCCAGCATATGTCATGCTACGCTGCTGCACGTTTTTTTCCACTTCCACGCATACGTCATGCTACGCTGCTGCACGTTCTCTTTTACTTCCACACATACGTCATGCTACGAGCTAGAACAGCTTGCTATGCTGATGGTTGCAATGCTTGGAAAGGAGATAAATTAAAGGAGCTAAATTAAAGGAGCCTCCAAACAACAAGTGCCAGAAAAACGCCTGAAATTGCAAAACGTTGCCCACAACCGCGGTGAGTTTGTGAAGCACTTGGGCAGAAAGCCCACAAAAAAGATTTCTTCTTTGGCCGGAACACAAACTTTAGACAGACAGTGGGGTTGGTTAAAAAACCCGATTCCCCGGCAGTTGCATACACATAAAGACTGCAGACGAGACTTCCAAAAAAAATGGAAGTACTTGTATGCTGCAGTCTGGGGCAAGAGCGTCAAAGGCAATGTCCTGAACAACCTCGGACAGCTTTGTGCTTGAAAGGCAAAAAAGAACTTTTCGGCGAAACCCTCGACGAACAAAACTCCTGTTTCGTGCTTGTAAAACACTAGGTTTTCCACTTTTGAAGTGACCCTTCCGAGGGATTTGTGCCAGAAATTTGTTCCAGAAATATAAGCACGATTAATTAAACATGTATAAACTACTACAGTTTCGGACACTTCCCTCATCGTCCTGGCACTGTGTGATGTCATCACCGACACGGCCTTTTACAGACGCTGTTGCCATGTTTTTCAGCATTGCAACCGCTTGGGGTTTATTTGTTTTCCGGTTTCACCAAGTCACCAGGTTTTTTTTTGGTCGGTGCTGATCACGTTTGACCTGGTTGTTCCATCGGCTTCGCCAACCTGATGGTTTTTGAGCAACTATTGCAAGACCAAACATGATTCAATGATGTGAATGGCCGCCCATCTTAAGATCGAAAGGTGGTAGGTGCGACAAAGGCGATTCTCGAATTGACACCGTTGAACTTCTGAGTCCTTTTCCGTGGTTTCTGTAGATGATGTCAATAATTCAGTTTAACCCGAAGTGTGGGGTCTTTTGGGATGATTCTTGCAAACCTAACATATCTTATCAATCGGTTCGTTGTGTTTTTTCCATGTTTAGTGATTGACTGTAGCCAATTCTTTGACTGGTGAGTTGGTTCTGTCCAAGCACGCTTGAGAATGTATTTCCGAAAACAGGCAACCCCATGGTTGTCCCATAATTCCAAAACATATTTAAAATTGTTTGGATTGCTTAGGGGTGGTGAGATTCTGGAAACCATCCATATAAAAAATCATACCTCAGCAATGGGGGTTTGCCTTAGGTCAACCCAAAAATAGATTGGGGTTCCCAATCACAATATTAAAATGAGGATGATGGACTATTACACCGTATAAAAGGTGGGAGAATATTGGCTAAATGGGACCCAACCATAGCCCGACCCAAAAACAAGTTATGTGCCAGCAGTCAAACATGGTAATGGAAACCTGAAAATTCCTCCTGGCATATATATTTTTTGTTTGTTTAGTCAAACTTCAAAAATGTTTTGATTTTCAATAAACATATAAAAATGATGGTTTCAAGAAAAAACGTGAGTTTGGAATTCCCCACCTCTACTGTGGGCTACAAACCGTACATGGCGTCGCTTTACTCTATGGCCAGCCCATTGTTTGACTTCAAAGGGCATACAACTATTACCAAACGCATTTTGCTCGATTCTGATTTTTTTTGTGGCGTCAGACTGGCTTGGGCGACTTGGTTGGATTGCTGCAATAGCCACATAGCTGCAGAGTAATGTAAATCAGCAATAAAGTGGGACATGATATTCGAATGTTTCCACAATCAAACACCCAGTGGTTTTTTGCAGGGTAGGTACTGAACCATACCCAAAACACCGAAGTGCAGAAAAACACAAGATTAGCAGAAATCGCGGTTTGGGAAAAAAATCGCGGTTTCAAGGAAAAAACATGTTTTTTTTGGGAAAATAACTTTTTTTTTGCACCCTAGGAAGTTGCAGGTATGTTCCCGTTTCAAACATGCCAAAAAATGTCCAGCTGCCGTTTTTTGGGATTTCCCATGATGACCCCATCCTGCGACTGGGAGGTACAACAGCAACTTGGAAGCTTCGAAGCAGAGAATCGCCGCCCTCCGTGCCCTGGTAGCTATGTTGAATGGTATCCAAACACGGACGTCTTTGATGTTGGTGGTTTATGGATGTTTATGGTGGTTTGGTAGTTGAAAATATAGTTTCAGTTCATGGGGATGTTTGGGAAATCACTATTGATCATGCAATATCATGCACTTCCTTTAAGTTGGTGAATTCAATGGTGATTTTCGATCTGGCGATGGCCCGGAGTAGCCCGGTTCCAGCTGTTAAGTCTGATTGATCTCGATGGGTTTCACCCACTCCTGGTGGAAACTTTCTGAATTTAGCAATGTTCATTTTTTCTGGGCAAGTTATAACATGTTATAACGACCTCACTGTTCTCCCTCACTGGAATCATGGTTAAGAGGAATCATCTCAAAATGGCTTTATTTCAGGTATATTTCAGTGTGTTATGAATTAATTTGCCCAGATTCTTTGCACAGTTGTCATTGATAACTCCAGTTTGATCCCAAACTCCTTGGTAAAATCTGGTGGTTGCGCTTGCCACGGAAAATGCATCTTTCCAGATCCTCTTCAAATGTCCCACGCTTGCCATCGTTTTTTTGAGATGCTACAAAACCCTCACGTTTTGCTAGGCTATGGACACGGTATATAAATTCATTACATATACCATTTTATAACGAACAATTTCTATTGGAACATATCATTATCTATATGTATATATTTGTGTTGTTCTACCATTATATATATATGTATATATATATAGTGTGCTAGTACTTTATGCATACCCTTATATATATATATATATGTGTATAAACATACATGTGTTGATTACCAAAAGCTATGTTCCTCTACACACTCGTGTGATTATACATGTTCTACCCTTATATGGGGATGGGTCAAAACCTTTTTTTACTATATTCTTGGGGATAAACCATCCATAAACCAGCTATTTTGTGGTATCTAGGGTACCAGGTTTTTGACACAGTCACATACTCATATTTACAGTATATATATATACACACTATATATATATATATATACATACATACATATATATATATATATATAAGGTCGGTAAAACAATAATAAACCATAATTTTGTGAATTGTTTATACCACCTATAATGCTTTCTTCCCCCCATTGGGATGTTTCCCCCCCTGAGGTGCCAAGAAGTCCAAGGATCCCCGCTTCGTGAAGCAAGGCCGTGGCCGTGCCTGGCGCGTGGCACTGAGCGCCTTGATGGGAAGAGATGGAACCGTTGGTCGGTCAGGAAACATGTGTTTAACCAACCATTTGTAATGGTGAAGACTGGTGCTTATCCCATGATTAGCCATGGTTATCCGATTTGTAACCATGAAGAATGGTGATTTAAATGGGATAACCATGGGATATTCATGGGATATTCATGGGATAGCCATATTTAATCATGAAGAATGGTGATTTCATTGGATAATCGTGGGATAACCATGGGATAATCATTACTAACATGCTTTAACCATGAATAATTGTGATTTAATGGGATAATCAAGGGATAAGCATGGGATAACATGTTTTGAACCATGAATAATGGTGATTTAATGGGATTATCATTGGAGAGTCATGACATTAGTAAGGAACATGGGGATTTCCTAAAATGGGAGTGCCCCAAAATGGATAAAAATTGATGTTTTATTTCACAAAAGTACGTCTTATTAAAATAGATGATACTGTATTTGGATTTGGGGTACCACCATTTATGGAAACTCTCATGTTTTACCATGACGAACTATGATTTAATTGGATACTGTAACCATGGGATGGTATGTGTCCAAAAATAGGATGATAATGGGTTAATGGAATATAGTCTAATGGACTGACTAATGGTAAGGTAATAATGGGATATGCCCTCCAGTACACATGGAAAAAACATCGAAATCCTTGGGTGTTTCCCACTTGGAAATGATCTACCTCCAAGTACTTGCAGAGTCTAAGTACAATCGTTTAACATTCAAAGACTATAGTGATTTCCGTGGTTACTTAGAGCCACTTCGCAACGCTAACAGCAGAAAAACTTTATGGGTTTGGTGGAACGTGGGATCACCAGCTAGATAAGCAGCTGCGAGTTTCCTGGAGATCTATCCCAGCCATAGGATACTACAGAGAAAAGGGGGGAATGACCGCTTGTATGGTAAGCAGGACGCCATGAAATCCCATGTTTTGTATGTGATGCAAAATTCCTACATGGCGGTACGCGCCAGGAACAGTTGGGGTAATCACCAAGTCCCACGTACCAACCGCTTGAGGTGTTGGCAAATCTAAGAGCTGGTGGGTGGACCAACCCCTGGGGAAAAAAAACCTGGCCAGCCATCTCCCCAGGAAAGCTTTCAGCATCTTCAACCAACCCATTGATTGGATTACTGATGGTTAACAGTTAACATCCCATAGAAGCCCATTGTAGAGTTTTCAATATGTTCATTTTTTGTAATCCCCCATCCCATAACTTGCCAATGGCTGGCCACGTTCTATTTAGGGTCTCGAAGTCTCCCAGTCCGCGGCGCCACGCCGCTAAGACGTCTTCGAATATCTGGACGAAAAGATTGCGCACCCCGAGGATTTCGCTGAGGCGGAAGGGTTGGACATGGTTGGAAGGTGGGTCAATGACAGAGATACGTGATGAGCACACACTTCGCGGCACACATGCGCATATAATTAATCATTTTTAGTAATATGTAACCATGGATATTTAGAATCAAATATAAGCCAATGAACAAATGATCATTAATTATGTAGATGCCTAGACAGATAGATGGATTGGTAGATAGACAGACGCACAGACACGCAAACATATATTATATGCACTATGTACCGTAACATATGTGTGTGTGTGCGCATACGATGTGTTCGTATGGGCATCGGTAATGGTTTAGTTTGGAACATGTTCAATGCCCTGCAGAAATTGTGGGGCTCTCTGTCAACACAATGCAACCATGTCATCCCAGTAGTGGGTAGAGAGTATTGGGTGTTGACCCATGTGCGCATTGAGTGGAGCAAAATGCCCTGAAAGACTGGAAATATCATTGAATCAAATCTGCAGCCTTTTAGGCGTGGCCTGCCATGAAATGAAACCGACACAAATGCAAGAATTGATCATATCTGTACGTAGAGAACCCCTTCAGAGTGAAAGCAAAAGTTTACAACAGGTGCTTAAGCCTTCCATGGTATCTTGTCATTTCATGTGAGATCACCTTAGGGTATCCTCCATTCGATATTCGAGGCAGCGCCCTTCCTGTAGTCGAAGTTTAAGTCAAGATCCACAGGTGGCAACCCCGCAGGAGATATCAAACAAACAGTATGGTCCAGTGCCAAACCAGGGTTTTCAGGCTGGTTTTGTTCCATGGCTAGCTGGGAAATTCCACAACTAAATGAAGGTTATTGCGAAGGTTTTCATTGAGCACGCAGGAGGTGCGTAAACCGATTTCACCACTTCACGCCACTTGAAGTGGCATGAAGTGGCATGAAGTGGCATGCTCACGGTGCGACACGCCACTTGAAGTGGCATGCGCCACTTGAAGTGGCATGAAGTGGCATGCTCACGGTGCGACACGCCACTTGAAGTGGCATACGCCACTTGAAGTGGCATCCGCCACTTGAAGTGGCATGAAGTGGCATGCTCACGGTGCGACACGCCACTTGAAGTGGCATGAAGTGGCATGCTCACAGTGCGACACGCCACTTGAAGTGGCATGCCACTTGAAGCGGCATACGCCACTCGGAGTGGCACGCCACTTGAAGTGGCATACGCCACTTGAAGTGGCACACGCCACTCGAAGTAGCACGCCACTTGAAGTGGCATACGCCACTCGAAGTGGCACGCCACTTGAAGTGGCATGAAGTGGCAAAATCAAATCCACCACATTTGCTCGTTCTCTGAAGATTTTTTGATATCTTATGTAAATGGGCTCTAAATGGGGATTTCCACAGCTAAAACATGTTCGTGCCAACCCGGACGTTGCTCCACACTTACAATAGTCATGATATGTCATGATCATCATCATCATCATCGTCATCATCATCATCATCATCACCGTCATCATCATCATCATCATCATCATCATCATCATCATCATCACATCATCACATCATGATCATCATCACATTAAATTTCGCCAACCCCTCTGAACAATATGTTGACTGGGGTAATTAACAACAACTTTATCTTCATGAGGGGTCACAATTCGCCTCCCTCTCTGAACATTATGTTGATTGGGGTAATAACATCCTATATCTCCATGAGGGATCAAAATTCGCCACCCCCTATGAACAATATGCTGACTGGGGTAATAACATCAACTTTATCTTCATACGGGATCATTTTGTGCCACCCCCTATGAACAACATGTTGATTGGGGTAATAACATCAACTTTATCTTCGTAAGGGATCAAAATTCGCCACCCCCTATGATCAATATGTTTTTTGGAGAAATAACATCAACTTTTTCTCCATAGCCACCTGAAGTCAGACGCGGCGCAACGTCAGGGTTGCAGCGAACATGTTTAATAGTCTTCATCGGAAAATCATCAAACAAATGAACAATTTTCCATTCTCCACAGCTGTTTTTTCAATGACCGGAGGATCATCCCACTTGGAGAGTCTTAACCTTGGTGATCGTAAGTCCCAAAATGTGGTTATCTCATTTATAGGTGTGATAATCATCCAGATAAATGGGTTTCTTCCAAATTGTACCCTAGAAATTGGGGTTTACGGCTGGGAGAATCATCGAAACATGGTGCGTTCAGGACAGCGAAAGCGAAACTGTGTCGGCCTCAGGATGCTGCTGCGCTTCAGCCCCCACCATTTGGATTTTGTTTGATGTTTCTTGGGTACCCTATGGTACCACACTTGGATATATTGATGATGTACAGGTGCATCATGAGGTCGAGTTTAGTGTTGAACCGATTGCTTGTTTTGTTCCATGTTTTTCTCTGTATGTCCGCATGTTGGCCTGAAAGGCTTCAAATGGGCGCTCACCACGGCAGTTGCCCTGGGGCCCAGGACAGCCAAAGTCCAAACTCGCGATCTCAATCGATCACGTCAGGATACCTGGTTGGTTGGTGATCATATGGGATGATATCCAATAGGGGATATCAGAATGATACCATTAAGGGATACTACCCAATAGATACTATTGGATAATCATATTAATTTTAGTAGAATGATATCATATTGATCTTCGATCGAGTCGTCCTCATGGTGACATATGGTGACTTTTCATTCTCATCCATTGCCAGTGTAGGTCCCACGGTCGGAGACAGGACCTGTTTGACAAGCGCCTTTTTGATCCTTTTTGGGCATAGGTGGCTGACCATAGGGGCTGATGGATTGGTGTCAATATCTGAACGAACCTACATGTATTCCTTATTTCTTTGAGAATTTCACCTGGTCATTGCTACGCGATTGCCAAAGGGTAAACTGCGACCCCTCAACTCAGGAGGCGAGAGTGGACCGGACACCACTGGAAGGAGCCACCAAATGCATGTAAAAAAGATATTCTCTTTGTACGGGCTATATATGTATATATATATAGGACGATGTATAGAACGTAATGGTGTTTTTTAAATGTCATATGATGTTCAACTGGTATTAGCACCCTCCCACACATTCAAAAGCTGGATGAGGGGAACCGTACATCAAGTCCCTGGAACTTGTGGGTAAGATGATAACCTGATTTCCCATGTTTTTTTCCTTACATCATTCCAGAATATTCCCGTTCACCACTTAAGTACCCTCTTGTAAACTAACATAAAAATGGAAAATCACAATTTTAATGGGCAAATCAACTACAAATGGGCCATTTTCCATGGCTATGTTAAATAACCTGCGCAAAAAAACGAAAGTTTGGGCAGTAAGCAAGGTTGACCCACTGCATTCACCATTCAAAGGAACCTGCAATCATGAAAGTTTCGCTCGTTCTGAAACTGTTGATTAACCGTATTCTTTTGTTGAATGATTCTGGATGTATATATTTAATATAATATATATATATAAATATATAATAATATATATAATGCATATAATATATATAATATGATATAATATATATATATATATATATAATAATAATAGTAACGACCCCGCTGCGACGTCGCTGTAGCCATGGTTAGCAAGTGTAATTATCCCCAATGGCCCAACTACTCAGGCTGGTGAATTGTTTTAATTCATACAGAAACTAGGGATATCATGCAAGACTTCCCAATAATCAGCATAGCAGCATAGTCCATTACATATTTACACGCATATATATATATATACACACACATTTATATATTTTTGATCATATATGTATATATACATCCCCAACTATAGCTGGTCTATCCCCATGAAACAACTCTTGTTGGTTAGTTATGTTCCCAGTATAAAATCATTATCATCATCATCATAATCATAATCATCATCATCATCATCATTTGCCCACCATTTTTGTAGTTTCTGGCATTTTGATTGGTCATCCCTGCTCCTATACATACACACATATTATAATATATATATATGTTTACATATATATATATATGCTTACATATGTATGTTTACATATATGTGTTTACATATATAGGTTTACACACACATATATATATATATATATATATGTATATGTATAAATATATATATATATATACTATTCCCATCATCCCCATGATATCCCCATGAAATCACTTCTTGACGAGGCGCTTCACGCCGGAACCGGGACACTTCCGCCGCTCCCGGCGGCGGCGCTCGGGCGGCGCCTCTAAGCAGGCGGGGTTTTGGGCAAGGCCATGGGCCAAGTGAAAGGTATAGAATTATTGAATAGGGCTTTGATTTAGTGGAAATTTATAGTCGATTTAATGGAATTTATAGAGTTGTTTAATTGAATTTTTTGTTCAGTTTCTATGTGAAATTCCTTCTCGTAAACCAACATAACTGGAAAATCACCATTTTTAATGGGCAAATCAACTATAAATGGGTTATTTTCCATGGCTATGTTTAACAACCAGAGGGTAGTGGGATTAATTATAGTTCATGGGATTTAGACATCCAACTTATAACTGGGTTTGGTCAGTCGGTGACTTTGTCAGTATGTTCCAAGGGGAAAACCACTATGAGGAATCCATTAAGGAAATATCTGTTACTTGTTTGGAGTCGGCCTTTCAGCAAAATCCAAGCTATAGTTTCAGTAGAGAGCAAAAAACTTCAGAAACATATGGGTCATAGCTAAGGTGGTGTCCCAACATGCGATGTTTGTTGCCTCAAAACGTCCTCAGTAACTAGATATATCTACCATGCATCCTAGTTATATGAATTATAGTTAGAATTTATAAACTTACGTAGCTAACTGTGGGACGCCACCTTGTAGTACTTAATGACTTAGTATTAGTGATTTTGACCAAGTAAAATAACTAAACATGATTGATTCGCTGCACGGAGAGGTTGAAATAGATGAGCCCAGGTCATTATATCGCTAGATTGCAGTGGGATACCCGTTGGAATGGGTGACCACATGTGATAAGCGATTTGACCAGTGAATTCCGTGGCCCATAGTATCAAGAAACGATAGTTGGGGTGCTAAACACGACCGCCAAAAGAATCATTTTACCCCCAAGCCCAGCAGTGCCCAGCACCCCACGAAATGAACCCAGGTCCCCAAGCACGGGACTCGCTCGATTTGTTTAAAACCAGAATACCCTTGAAATATAATATGCAACCCAAAAAAATGATGTGGCAAATTATTGCGGCCAATTCTCCTTCGGACCATGTTCATCATTCTGGGAAACCATACCTCACCTTCACCCATGGCAATTTCAGGTAACACTGGTTGTCACAATGGATTTACAGTACCTGGCTCCAAAAGAACGAGGAGCCTCCAACTGGTGAGCAGAACCGTTTCTGATGCCTGGAAAGTGGATCGGTTAGAGCGCCGGAAAGGGGATCGCTTGGAACGCCGAAAAGTGACACGTACAGACACATCAGAGGTACATAGCGCTAGCGTTACATATATAGACACCCCACAGCGAACGATGAGGAAAGTGCAGTGCCTGTGTTTTGCTGTGCCTGTCTGTGCGCAGGAACATGGACGTTATTATCCTACACCACCCCACCCCACCTCTGGTGCTCCAAGTGATCCACTTTTCGGTGCTCTAAGTCATCCCATGGTGCTCTAAGTGATCTGGTGCTCTAAGTGATCTGGTGCTCTAAGTGATCCGCTTTCCGGTGCTCCAAGCAGTCTGCCTTTCAAGCATGCGAGCAACGATTCTTAATTCGCATACACACCATGCATCTACCTTCGGTACATGAATGTACCTAGGCATCAACTTGTTTAGCGTTGTCTCTCAGTCACAGTGTAGATTTGAGCACATCATATGGGTGTGTTTGAAGACTGGAAATGCGGTACTGTCTACAGCCAAAACGAGTCTGTTGGTATATCTTGATAGGGATCTAAGATTTACCATATGATATAATAAACCTGTCTTCACTGGTGAATCCTTATTGCTCATGATTTAGCAGTGACTAGATATCCCTTCCTTTAAGATGCAGTTGCATTATTGTGTACAATAAGTATTGAATAATAAAACGTAATGATTATTTCATCATTTTTTGCTAGTTATAATTTTAAGATACATATATAATTTTATATAATCATCATTTCTCTTGCTACTCTCCAGTAACTTCACATAGACTCTGCCATGTATCGGGGTTGGAAGATCAGTTTCCACTAAACACGGGCGATTTTCAGGGTCAATTGTTAATTTGCCAGAGCATAACTGCCACTATGAAACCAACTGAACTAGGCCATGGCTTCCATTTCATCATTTCACCTATTTTGTTTACTATAATTCTATGAATTTCTAAGATGCTAGGCTACATCTAATTTCATGCCATCACCCTTTCATCATTTCACCTATTATTTACACATTATTTCTCTTGTAAAAAAACATTTCTCAGCCAGTGATCCGTCACGACCAGTCATGCCAGGGCCGTGAGCTTTCGATCTTGTCCCCCTGGATGCGCTCGGAGCCGCGCTCCCAGGGTTGATCTCGGGGTGGTGGTTCCATGTGGTTCCCATGGACATTTTGTATCTGGTTGGTGGTTTGGGACATTTTTTCATCATCCCCAATAGTTGGGATGATGATCCAATCTGACTAATATTTTTCAGAGGGGTTGAAACCAACTATGGATGATTTTTGTAGATGATTTATCATGCAGAGAGAGAGAGAGATGATTTACCATAGATGATGAATACTTAACTCATGGGTTGATTTAAATCTGAATGATTAACCATGGAACATGGATCATCAGATATACAATCATGGGATATTTAGATATTTAGATATTTAATCAAACGTGGCTCGCTGGAAGATCCCCTTTTTGCTGGGAAAGTCATTGAACTATGGCTGGTGGAAAGGCTGCAGCCAGCCATGGTTTTTCTTACCCACGCCATGGTATATATGTACGCTAATGTGTCAGCAAGAATGTATATATTCACACAAAAAAACATGTACTTGTAGTGTAACGATTATGGATGGCAATGGAAAAATTGACAAATATTGATTTGTATGTGTTGTATATATGTTTCTTTCATGTTGACCAATGATTTCGCACGCAGGCAATTGCATGTTTCATTACTGACGGGTAGTGTTTTTTCCATGTTTTTCCCTTCATGAACAACAAAAAACTTCAGAACTCGGGTTTAGTGCTGGATTTGTTCATGCCTGGGAGTCGACAGGGGATGTCTATCACTTGGGGGTATGGGATTGAACACAAACCGCTCATTGAATATTGCGACCTCACCACGACCATCCCGCAAGCAGAGACCCTGGGAAGTTTTTTGAGCCCATTGTTAGAGGAACATAATTGGTCTTCCAATCCCTAATGTTGATTTCAGCAACGATTATAACGATTATTCGGCCAGATAGTTGGATATCAGTGCACAATAGGATCTGAACAAATGGTTTCACGCGTGTAATTTCACAAACAAAGATGGCAGACAATATATGTTTAAACATGTTTAAACCACGCATAAAATGCGATAGCCTTTTACAAACAACGTATGGGGTTTAATCGACCAGCAGTTGGGTTGAAGCTTGTCGCTTCAGTAGCAATGCGACCATCCCCCATTGGAAGTTGATTAGCGGTTCAACATGATTAAATGTACCCTGCTTGGTCGATTGGTTGGGAGTTATACCAACTACTGTAATTTATTGAGACTTATGATAATCCATGGTAGGAAAACCGGTCAACCAACTAGTGTCATGATATGGGGTTACTTCGGTTTGTTTCGGTTATTTCATGATCTTCATCTACGCACGGATAGATCAAATGACACTGCCAGAGCAGAACGTTCCAACTGATTCGACTCAGGTTCATGTCTGATGAGGAATATGACTTGCGGCCGGTGCTGCCCTCAGCAGATGGAGCGACCCTCCAAAGGCAACGCCTGCGCTTTGGTCCATGATTCACTCAATTTCCAGGATTTGATCCTGCACAACTAGCGTGCAATCCATGTTTAAACTTTAAACCCATATCGCTAAGCCATATAAAACCACATATTTTTTTTGTAAAAACAAAACAAAACAAGCATATGCCTAGACCCTCCAATGATAAAAGTACAGAAGGCATGGGAGGCAAACATCATTTTAAGGGTACGTGGGAGGGTCTAGATATGATATCATACAGGGGTTGGCAAATGTCACATTTTTTAACATCATCCAACTATTGGGATTTCATCTCCAACAGATATCTGAAGGTGATGTTCAAAATTCCCAGTAGTAGGGGCATTTACATTGGGGATTGATTTGACCCATTGTCGGTTAACCCCCTTGATAAAGGGACAGTTATAACCCAGTTATCTGAAGGTTAAACCCCTGTTTATACCCTCTGGTATTTAACAAAGCTATTGAAAATAACCATATATAATATATATAATTTCTTATTGGGTTGATTTACCCATGGAGGATTTACCCTCTGGTAATTAATTTAACATAGCTATTGAAAATGGCCATTTATAGTGGATTTACCCATTCAACATGGTGAGTTTCCATAGTTTTATTAGTTTACCAGAGGGTAAATCCACATATTGTTGGCTCCAAGGACACCTGGGACCTGCGCTGCTGGCTGCAGCCCGTGCGGCACCGTGCACGCACCGCCACGGACGGGGGCCCCCTCGGCCGGTTTCCTTTTTGTCATGGGGGTACCCCCGGTTATCATCCATTTATATCGATTTATATTTATAGAATGTTATATTGATCATTTCCATACATTTATAGTTATAGATTATAGATTGATCATTTCCATGAACCATCCGGCTATGTAGCCAATGTAGCCCCATGGAAACCCCCAGGAGTACGGAATATATACCTACGGTCATTGATTGTGATAGGTTGATGTTTGATAATTTGTTGATTCTGATAGTTTGGAATATATCCAGCCACTGTGGATGGAATTCTTCATGGAAGATGCTGGATATTTTTGACTACTCACACTATAATGGATCAACCATAATATACCCTCTGGTAAACTAACATAGCTATGGAAAATCACCATCTTTAATAGGTAAATCCACTATAAATGGCCATTTTCAATAGCTATGTTAGTTTACCAGAGGGTATATCCCCCATTCATATATGACACAGCCCCATTCTGTGGGTCCCACAGATGTGTTCTTTATGCCCAAAAAAAATCGCTTCACCATGGTTTCTAGGGATGAAATTATAGGATGGTGAGGAAGTGATTGGAACCCCCATCCCGTCAGGTCAGTGACCGTTTTTTGTTGGGGGGATGGCTTACCGAAGTACTGAGGAGAGTGCTTTTAGCTTTTGAAGATGTTTCCAGGTTCAAGTTGTTGGGATGACGTCCAAGTGGCTTGAGAGAATCGAGGATGGTTGATGTCCCATGCACCATGTTTAGTGGGTAAAAGGAAGGGCAGGTATAAACTACTCGTTGGTGGTTTGGAACATGTTTTATTTTCCATAATATATGGGATAATCCTTCCCATTGACTTTCATATTTTTCAGAGGGGTAGGTCAACCACCAACCAGACTAGCTCAATTTGAAAATCGTCTCATCCATGAGCCATGGCTTCCCTAGCTGTCTCCGCAGGACCGAGTCTTCACGTGCCATGGCAGAACTGCTTCGAAGGTCCTGGAAGAGTCTACACCAGTGATGAAGATTTGGGGGTTCCTAAAATGGGGGTACCCCAATAGCTGGATTGTTTATAGTTTATATATAGTGGAAGATCCTATATCTGCAAAATGGACGATTTGGGTGTACCCCCATGACTGCGGAAACATCCATTTGGGAGTCGCTTGGACGTCCTATTCATGTGGAATTTAGCTAGATGACTGTTCAATGTGGGGGACTTTCATTGACCATGTTGAATTTCATGGACATATGCCAGCATGAATAGATCGGATAGCGGCACAACCTCCTTTGCATAAGATCCATGAACAAAGCCGCAGTTGGTTGGTTGTCACCCGCAGTGTTTTGTTTTCCGAAACGACTTGGTCTGATGGGGAGTGTGATATCTTGCAATATATACAACTACAAACTGATATATATATATATACATAGTAGACTTAGACTATTCACCATTATTCGCCTCCATAGGCAACCTATACACATGTATATATCCAATCATCAACTAAGTTGTTTAGGTTGTATGCTATATACAACCTTTAACATTATAACGGACCTACAGTAAGGACTCCATACATCTTAAGCTACCACAACATGGGATGGCATGGGGGTATTGTGAACTTTTCGGCATTTCCCAATAACGGTTTCAACATGTTTCAACCGTCCTGCCATGGATTTATTGATAATATATGTAACATTAATATATCTTCATAACAACCCAAAAAATCCAAGAACAGTTAAAAACTGGTCAATTATGGAGAACACATCATCTATACCATTCTGGAAATACTTGTCTATCGACGATGCGATTGAGGCCGGAACATCACTGGAAAGCCCTGTCACGGAAAGGATCTCGTGCCTCGGCGTTGAGAAACCTGCCAGTTTCTTACTGGACCAATTGTAAATTGTAGAGTATATTCCCATCTGGTTGGTGGTTTGGAACATTTTTTTCCCCCTATATTGGGAATGTCATCCCAACTGACGAACTCATATTTTTTAGAGGGGTAGGTCAACCACCAACCAGGTAGAGTAGATTCCCACTTTTGAGGGCAACAAAAATCTCCCTGACCCACCTGGCTTCATGGTGCAAGGACATAGGTGTCGGGCTTCGAACTGGATAGGTTCTTCAAAAGTGTGTTTGATGACAGCAAAAAAAAAGAACATTGAACACTAAACAACTAAAGTATATGATAGTCGTGGTAATCAAACTTCTTCCATCTTGTTGGGGTATAATGTCTCTTCCATACCATATCCCTCCAATTGAGATTCCGATGATTCATCGAGCTTCATCGTGGATATGTTACTAGCATTCCCATTCTAGTTGGGGGGATGGTAACATCATGCAAGTATCATGTATCCCAAATATATCATTATATAATGAGTTAAGTTATATTCCTTAAATCCCATTATTCTAGCTCATAGCTGTAGATATTAAACAGGTTTATATAATTAATCTAGTTAAATACCATTCATCATATCACCAATTAAATTCCTTAAATATTCTTAAATTTCACTTTAGTCCAAGGTATGGGTCAAGGAGTCAAGCACCCATCCATGGTTAAGCCAGATAGATACCAGCAGCTTGCCTCACGCCAAGGCAGCGACCCTGGTCAACGCCTACCGGAGGTTGATTGGGAATTGCAGGGAAACCACGAGGATAGATAGATAGTCAGGGAGAGAGAGAGAGAGAGAGACTCAGAGCCTCAACCACCTTTCGATCCATCAGTTGGTTCGCTCTGCCTTCTGTCACACAAACACACCTCTCCTATAGCTGTCCTATCTTTGAAACTGGAGCTGCCTTGTGCGGTCACTAGATTTACCCTTGGCAGGACCCTGTCCTGTTGGTGCAGCAAGCTTGTCGGAAGTTGGCCGAGGACATGGCGATACGGAAATGCCGGGGTGTTGAATCAACTATTTGGAACCAACGATTAGTTGATGTATGTGATTGGTCAACCACCTCTGCATTTTTCTTTACGAACTCATCCTTCCAATACCTATTCGACTCATCCGCAATATATAAGCATGTGATTCGATGAGGATTACTTACCAATGTTCCAACTATTCAGCATTTTTCAGCTATTCATAAGTCCATGTTTGTCCCATCTTTCCCCACCTGACAGGTGAGGGTCTTCAGATTTAATTTCAGCTTGTGCTCCTCCTTCCTCCTCCTCGTCTCCTCTTCTCCTCGCCAAATAGCCAAGCTCATAGCCAACCTCGCAGTTTCCCCGCCAGCATGTAATCGCCAGCTGGACACGAACACTATGCCAGATAAAATCTCAGACAGAATGCCGCATAGACTTGTCAGAATTAAATGTCAGAATGCACAATGACATATGCGACGAATTTGAATGATTTGAATGCCAGAAATCAGCCAAATGATTGCCCATTCCCCTAGGACTTCGTGCAGGAGGCGTGCAGCCGTGGTGTGGGTGTGGAATCCATGGCAGAGGAAAAGGCAAAGAAACATAGAAAACATATGAAAATAGTTGGAAAGTAAACTTATACATATATATATATATATATATTATATACTATACAGCATAGTTATTTATATATACACCTAATATATAAGGACATGTGTTATATTTTGTTTTGGGGGGGTGGTTACTATGAACATCTAACCAGACACGGGTGGGAACTTACGTATACCTGACCCAATCAAGGGATGGAACTGGGAAGGCGAAACAAACGTAGTAACATGAGGTAACCTTTAAACCAACATTTGTATAGATATGATAGTAACATATCAAACCAGTATTGAATCATTACATTCAGCTAATATATATATATAGGGATATATGTAAACCATGGTAAACCAGTACTTTCGATAATTGAATCATATTGAACCCCGCCCAAGAAATATAGATAAATCCGCCTGTATTTTTTTTTCGATGAATCCCTCTATTTAAGGAAAAGATTCGGGGAATAATTATGAGTCCTTTGCGGCGAAGAAAATAACAACCCCAAAGTCTGACAGTTCAATCTTCCCTGCAGCAGATCAGTCGCCCTGGTGCCCCTTTGGTGCCGCATGTATGACCATATCCTTGCCTAAGCCGGCATATGGAATTGAATAGGCTACATATGGACATGCACAGCAGCAGGAAACCCTGCACTGTTCGAAACTAAGAAGTGGTTCCTGCAAGTACGGGTAGGAGCATGATTTTTCCGTATTGTTTTCGCCACTCACAAGAGGTTAATCGGGTTCATCATGGAATCAGAAAAGGATGAGGTTTATAAACCAACAAGAACAGATGGGGTGGCCCCACCTGATATATGACAACCAACAGGTGGATTTTTCACCAGCTACCAGGACCCTCCCGCCCCCGACGTGAAGATCGCGGTGCGCGATGCCAACGCCGACGCGGCGAACGCAGCGGAGAGCCCAGCGGTGATGGATGACTTCGATGCCAAGCATAGCAGCTGGGCCCAGTCAGTCGGGGCCATTGGTTATTTACCCAATGGGGATTTTATAACGGGGATGTAACATGGAGATAAAATCACTAAAATCCCAGCAGCAGGAAAAAAATGGGCTCACCGACTCCAATTGGGGGTCTCATATGGTCTCATGATAATGGGAATGTACTTGGAAATATGCCTTTGTTAATCGAACATAGCCATGCTATGGCGTGATTTAAGTTGGATGATTTGCCGATTTTCTACAGCTATGGTAAATAACCATATTGGGGGCAATACCGGTGGTTTTGTTGATGGCTACTCGATGGGTGAATGTCATCGGATGAGGCAATACCGGACCAGTTTTTGAGGGGATGAGGCCATCGATAGTGTCACCGGGTTCGCACGACCCATTCGGAGCCAGGAATGGAGCTAGGAATTGAGTGGGACCCAACCACATGGGCAATAGTCACTTGTTGGGTTGCTGTAATGGTCAATAGGAAAAGGTTGCTAGTGGTGTAGAACAAAAAAGTTACTGGCTCATTAATGGTCAATGCCAACATTTTGGCAGGATCTATTTAAAATGTGAGGCGTGGATAAGCGGATAGTAACTGAACCTTCCAGATGGCGCATGACTTTACCAGCACTTGGCAAGTGGATTCAGCTTGATGGTTGACGAAAAAGATACGCAGTTGGAACATACCCTTTGGTAAACTAACATAACTATGGAAAATCACAATTTTTAATAGGAAAATCAACTATAAATTGCCATTTTCAATAGCTTTTTGTATGTTTGCCAGAGGGTACCTTTGGTAATCAATGAGCAAAATCTCCTATAAATGGAGGATTTCTTCCGTTGCTGCGTTTGATTACCGGAGGGCAAGGTTTTTTCTGCCCTTTTTAGGGGTGAAATTGACATAAATTGACCCAATGATAATAGGGTGAATTCGGGGGCGGAAATTGATCAACTGCCCAGTGGTTGCTGGTTGGTTTTTAGTGATTTCATGTGTTTGGGGCTGAAACATGTTGAAGCCACCAATCAGTATTTCATTACGTGCGGGTATAATCCACCAAATCCATCTACCAAGAAAAACTCATGCAGAGCCCACGCAGAGAACTGCATGGAATACATTGGCTCCTGGTGGTTCGGCTAAAGTGATTGATTCCCGGTTCCTCAAAGTGGGATGACTGGTTGGTGGTTTGGAACATGGCTTTTATGACTTTCCATATATTGGGAATGTCATCATCCCAATTGACGAACTCATATTTCTCAGACGGATTGAAACCACCAACCAGCATGAACATATTGTTTAAATGTAGAACTCTCAGCTTACTTCAAGTATTTCTGGGGGTGTGGGGTACGTCAATTTGGAAGCAGGTGCCGCCAAATGACGGGTACGCAAAAGCAAATGGTTGGAGAATGAGGATGAAATGACGGGCTACGTGTATAGTGTATATATATATACATACAACTCAACATAAATATATGCTTTCTGTAACTATTACCATCTATTACATATACAGCAATGACAAGAAGGATCCAACATGAGCAACAAATGGTGTCGCCGAGGAGCTGTCCGTTGCTTCATGTTTGATCTTACAAGGTGGTCCTCCAGTAAGTTGGTTGCCATAAACCCCATCAACTGTCATAATATGTCATATTTGCCATAAAGTGCCTAAAAAAGCCTATAGTCTATAGATGATTGTAGATGTCTATAGTTATACCAACCTTGCCATTGAAGAATTGCCATTAAAATTGCACCACCTTAGCTAAGCAGCAGCTACCAGGCAAAGTCTTGGAGATTTTGCAGCAAGATAGCCTTCTGAACCAGGACCCACGGGACCCACGGGACCCACGGTGCCGATTTCAAGGGCTTCCCCGGCTTCCCCAGGTGGTGATTGGCGTTGAAACCTGAAAAACCTCAGATTTTTAAGACATGTCGTCACTTTAACCCCAAGACTTCGGAAGTGCAAAATGCACTGCAGTTGCCTAGGAAAATGAAGAGGAACAACGATAGATGCTGAAACATTTGGAAAAACATGGAAACCAAGAACTGGAAATATCAACAGCTGAGGGGTTTAACCTACGAACAGGGTATCAACCAAGAACTGACTGAAATCAATAATGTCAACAATGATGTGTTAACATCAAACGAAGAAACGTATATACCGATAATTCTCATTGAACCTGAACCTATAATATGTCATAATTAATTGTGATCGATCTATATGATCTACATCCGCATCAGGATTGACTGCCTACCGGCGCTGGGTTTTGAGAGGAGCCATTGGACTCCGTGATCGAAGAAGATGAGGAAGACTCAGGTTCCCCCCCAGCGGCTAGGAGCTGGGATCCTTCATTCCCTGGGATCAAACATGGTTTACCTGGCTGGGATATTCTCGAAGGAAATCTGCATTTCAGTGGTAAAAAATCGGAAAATCAATAAACATCTATAACTGAAGAAATGAGAGAAATAAATCTATATATATAATTATATATATATGTAAGTGTGTGATTATAAATGAAGAAATGAGGGATTTCCCATTGCCATATTTGATCCAGAGGCTCAGAGAATTGGGAAAAGGGACTTTCTCAAGTGCTCGGAAGATTCTTCTTGCCCAAATTGGATGAGAATGGTGGGTTTCCACTAGAAGCAGTGTTTGAAAGGAACTAGCACTTGGGGTTGGGATGAGATTAATTTCCAGAAGACTGGCTGACAAACAGTTTTATACACGTATATATATATATATATGTATGTATATATATTTATATATATATATATACGTGTATAACAAAACCTCCAGCATGAAGCCGGTATACTCAACACTGCCGTGATGCTTCCATGACTCTTAAGCTAGAGCATTTCAGGGGATGCGGGCACTGCTGGGAAAGCGAGGTAACTGGCCGCGATGTTTTTGGAATCCTTGGTGGATTGCAGTAGATCATGGTGGGTTTACTGTAGACAGAGAAAAGTGGATTGTCATCCCCCATCACAGCAGTATGACCTGCGCTCAATTTTTGAATGTATTTGATGTTGTTTTCCAGTGGTTGCGTCTTGTTGAATCTTGTTTTTCTGCAACGCTGCCATCCCTGAAGCGTCCCATCACTCGAAAGCACGCGCTTTGCCTCCCATGTGGCAACGGATTGAGAGGACCCAGGATGTACACCGCAACAAAGACGGACTGTATATGGAACTATCATAAACGACATATAAACGACAAGTCCATTGAATATGTGCGGAACAAGAGCACGCAGCTGTATGGAACCATGTTCAAGACGTCGTCAGGTCCCCGGCGTCTCCCTCACAAGTGCTGCAACATGAGCCAAGGCCCTTTCTCATTAAAAAAAGTACATTTTTGGGTGCCCCCAAACAGGGGGTTCCAAAGCCAGTGGATTTTCGCAGTTTAAAAAACCAAGCTTGGCGCACCGGTGCAGCCCCCTATGTTTCGCCATGGCGGTATGCACCAAGCTGCCCAAACGCCATTGGGGTCCCAAGGTCACCTGGCATCTGGCAGCCAGGTGTGATTGGGGGTGCCAGAACCAGCCTCACCGTCGCATTCTGATGAAAATGATTGGATCCTGGACTATATGAAAAATATTGGTAGACTAAGGACAAACCTTGGATATATAGTTAGTTTGGTATATTGAAATTTGAAATATATGGTATAGTACTTAGTGTTAGTAAAGCAAGAGCACACCATCCCCAAATTCTCCATATTGGCTGGAGTTCCAACCATCCATATGGCTGGTTGCTGGCATTACTATCATTATTTGGCAATGATGCAACCAAAAAAAATACAACCAGAATAAAACCATGATAAAACCATGATAAAACCATGACACGGCCATGATAAAGCCATGATAAAGCCATGATACAGCCATGATAAAAACCATGATAACACCATGATAACGCCATGAAAAAACAATGATAAAGCCATGATAAAGCCATGATAAAACCATGGCAAAACCATGAAAAACACCATGATAGAACCATTATCAAACCATGATAAAACCATGATGAAACCATGATCAAACCATGATAAAGCCATGATAAAGCCATGATAAAACCATGATAAAAACCATGATAAAACAATGATAAAACCATGATAAAAACCATGATAAAACCATGATAAAACCATGATAAAGCCATGATAAAGCCATGATAAAGCCATGATAAAACCATGAGAAAACCATGATAAAAACCATGATAAAGCCATGATAAAGCCATGATAAAAAAAACATGATAAACACCATGATAAAACCATGATAAAAAAACATGATAAAACCATGATAAAAACCATGAGAAAACCATGAGAAAACAATGATAAAACCATGATAAAACAATGATAAAAACCATGATAAAACCATGCTAAAACCATGGTCAAACCATGATAAAACCATGATTAAAACCATGATAACCACCATGATAAAACCATGATAAAGCCATGATAAAAACCATGATAAAACCATGAGAAAACCATGAGAAAACCATGATAACACCATGATAAACACCATGATAAAAACCATGATGAAACCATGATAAAGCCATGATAAAACCATGAGAAAACCATGATAAAACCATGAGAAAACCATGATAAAGACCATGATAAAACCATGATAAAGCCATGATAAAACCATGACACAGCCATGATAAAACCATGATAAAGCCATGGTACAACCATGATACAGCCATGATAAAGCCATGATAAAAACCATGATAAAACCATGATAAAGCCATGATAAAAACCATGATAAAAACAATGATAAAACCATGA